CCAAGGGTTTCCTCAGAACCCCTTGACATGCCAAAAGACTCTTTGCTTCAGCTACTCAGCAGAGCCTTGCAGAGGCCGCCCATGGGCTCAGCCCTCAAGGAGCCCCCAGTCTAATGGGGAGGTGGGTTAGGACAGAGGAAGGTGCTAAAGTACTCTGGGACCACAGCAGATGGAACTGGGGCATCTGGGAGGTCAGGGAGTCAGGGCATTCCAGGCAGAAGGCAGAGAGGTGGAGGGCCTGGACGATCAGGTTGTCCAGTGTGATCTATGAAGGAGGCTGAGGCTCTGGGGTGTGGCTGGGCCTGTGCCCTTTACACACAGTGCAGTTCCTGACAGACAGCACATCACTACATGTCCAGGGTTGCAGACAGGCCAAACCCAGTCCCTGTTTCATAGGCATTGCTAGTCAGGGAAGATGCAACCATGGAAAAGGTGAGTTCAGTGTACCAGGAAGGTGGTCCCACTGAGGCCTACAGAGGGAGCTGTGGATGCACAACTGAAACTATCTGAAGATTCAGCCCTCCTAGGGGCAGAGGGGTGATCAGGGGACGGGCGTGCAAGGCAGAGGTGACCATATGGCTGGGGTCTAGCAAAGAAGGCTGTAGTGCTCTCCAGGAGAGCCTTGTTCTGTTTGGAGAGCAAGGTGGTGGCAGTGACAAGGAGGGACAAGCAAGGAGAAACAGGAAGGAAACTGGAAGGCAGAACAAGGTGGGCTGCCGGCCTCTAGGTACGGTCGAGCAGGTGGCTCTGCCTTAGTGTCTCTCCTTGGTCCCCAGTGGTGTGCACATGATGGTGGCCACCCCTGGGCGCCTCATGGATCTGCTGCAGAAGAAGATGGTCAGCCTGGACATCTGTCGTTACTTGGCCCTGGATGAGGCTGACCGCATGATCGACATGGGCTTCGAGGGCGACATCCGCACAATCTTCTCCTACTTCAAGGTGCCCTTCCCCACCTGGCCGGGACGTTCCCCCACCGTTCCCCCACCACACACACCACATTCAACTCTGAAGGGCCCTGAGGCCCACCCACTGTCCCAGCCCCTCAGCCTCCCCCCCAGCCCCCACATGTCCTCTTCTTTCTCAGGGCCAGCGACAGACCCTCCTCTTCAGTGCCACCATGCCCAAGAAGATTCAGAACTTTGCCAAAAGTGCCCTGGTAAAGCCTGTCACGATCAACGTGGGGCGTGCCGGGGCCGCCAGCCTGGATGTCATCCAGGTACCTGCTAGGCAGTCTCGCCTGGGAGGGTGGGGTCTTCCAAGGCTCCCGGGAACTGATCAGAGCCGGGTGGGCACCGGGGGTTTCATTCACAGCCTCGGCCCTTAGAAGGAAGCCTTCTTATAGTGCCCCGCCCTTGGCAAGAGGCTTCTGGTCACCTCCCAGCTAGGACTGGGGACCCATTCTCTGTGGCAGGGCCAGGGCTGGTGAGCCTGTTCTCAGGACCACCTGACCTGATCCCGGTGGTGACAGGAAGTGGAATATGTGAAGGAGGAAGCCAAGATGGTGTACCTGCTTGAGTGCTTGCAGAAGACACCACCGCCCGTGAGTGCTGCCAGCCAGGCTGGCCGGGGGGCAGCATGCAGGGGAATGGTCATAGGGAGCACCCAGGAGTTAGCCCCTGTGACCAGAGTTGACTTTTTCCGGACAGGTGCTCATCTTTGCAGAGAAGAAAGCAGATGTGGACGCCATCCATGAGTACTTACTGCTCAAGGGAGTGGAGGCTGTTGCCATCCATGGGGGCAAAGGTCAGGGTGGGATGTCCTAGGCAGGGACCCCACTACCATAGCAGCCCCTCATCATATCCCTTCCCCACCTGGACAGCCTGCCACTCCGCCCCAGACCACTGCTGTCGCCCTAACAGTTCCTGCCTGACCCTTTCCAGACCAGGAGGAACGGACCAAGGCTATCGAGGCATTCAGGGAGGGCAAGAAGGATGTCCTTGTGGCCACGGATGTAGCCTCCAAGGGCTTGGACTTCCCTGCCATCCAGCACGTCATCAATTATGATATGCCTGAGGAGATCGAGAACTATGGTGGGGTATTTGGGAGGCTGGGGTTGAGGGCTCAGCCCTAGCCCCTGGAGAGAGGGCCACATGCTCTGTTCCCTCTCTCTGCAGTGCACCGTATTGGCCGAACTGGGCGCTCAGGAAACACGGGCATCGCCACCACCTTCATCAACAAGGCCTGTGGTGAGTCTGCCTCCGAGGCCACCAAGGCCGTCTCCTGGGTCCTCCACCTGTGACCTCTCAGGTTCTGGCTGCAGGGCCCAGGGTTGGACCTGAAGGCTCCCCACTATCCCCACAGATGAGTCAGTGCTGATGGATCTCAAAGCCCTGCTGCTGGAGGCCAAGCAGAAGGTTCCACCCGTCCTGCAAGTCCTGCACTGTGGGGACGAGTCTATGCTGGTCATCGGAGGTGACGCGGGGTGGAAGGACCCTAGTCCGGTGGGGACAGTCGAGAACACCATGGAACAAGTGCATGCTGCCCCTTGGTGGACTGGGGGTCTGATGGGGTGGCCCACGGTCTGGGGTATGGAGGCTGGCCCCATCAGCGTGCTGACCATCCCTCCCCTGGTCCCCCATTCCCACAGAAGAGCGTGGCTGCGCCTTCTGTGGGGGCCTGGGCCATCGGATCACGGACTGCCCCAAGCTCGAAGCCATGCAGACGAAGCAGGTTAGCAACATCGGCCGCAAGGACTACCTGGCCCACAGTTCCATGGACTTCTGAGCTGGCTGCCACCCCTCCTCCTTTGCGAGGGGCCTCTGTCCCTGGAGCTCCAGCCATCACCACCACCCCCTCCCCCCCGCCAACACACACACACACACACACACACCTGCCCCGTGGACAAGAAGACAGCAACCTCGGCTCAGCTGGCCTGGGTTGGGCCAGGCTGGACCTGGCTGCCTGCTCACTGTGCCCCCCAGAATTACTGTTTTTGCTCCCCTTTACCCTAGCTGCCATTAAAGCACAAGCCTTTCTGTTCTCAGCCTCTGTGTTTCACCTTGTCTGCCCCGTGCTTCCTAGGCAGGCCTCACCCTCTGGCCTCCAGCACCCTTCTGAGCTGGGACCTTGGTATCTCCCACCACCACTGCCAAAACCTGCTGGTACTGAGTTGTGGAAGGAGCTGATTGCCTAGGGCCTCCTGTGGAGGCTTAGGGTAAATTTCCTCTATTGTGACTCAGAGAAGTACCACCCCCATAAGACCAGAGGGAAATGTTTGGTTGGGGTTTCTGGTCTTTCTGGTTGGCTGTTAGAACCTCCAGCCCTGCCCCAGCCTCCCTTTTCCTGTCAATGGGTAAAGTTCCCCGGGGCTTCTCCTAAGGCCCTTTGGAGACATCCTGCCTCAGGCCCCCTGCCCACACAGGCTCCCAGTAGGGAGGCCTCTGCTGTTTGCCAAGCGGGCAGCAAATGCCATAGGACTGCCACATGCATCCAGGCCACATGCACCCACTGACCCAGCTATGTGCTGGGCTCAGGACCTAGGTGAGCCAGACAGATGCCCTCTGGGAAGTTCACAAGTGAGTGGAACAGAAGATAAGCCGTGAATAAATGCAGGCTGCGGTCACGGGACTGCTAGCAAATGGGCCAGGATTTCAGCATCTTGCTACGGGTAGAAAGAAGAAAAAGCCCAGGTGGCAGCTCCCCTGTGCCAGGCACTGCCTGTACAAGGCCACATGCTTATCCCAGCAGGACAGCAGTTGTCTGAGTCATGCTTGTCACTTGGTGTGTGGCCTTGGGCAAGTTACTTAACGTTTCTGAGTCTTGATTTCCTCATCGGTGAAATGGCAATGAGAATGCAAAGGACATGGTGTCAGGCTGCTGGGGCCATAACGGGCCCAAAGCCAGGTGAACGAGGCCCTGGATTTCCTGCCAGAGAAGCTGCACAGCCCACGTGTGGCCCCCCAAACAGTATTTGGCCTGTTCACACATTCTTTTGTAGAAGTGGCACGAGATAAGTGACACGAGGCTGTCTCCAGAATTCAGATTCACAAGCAGAGCTGGCTTCCAGCAAGGAAAGGCTTAGAAAGAGCCCCAGCAAGAAGCAAAGCTTAAAAAAAAAAAAAGCAAAATAACGACAACAACAAAAAAAACATGTGAGCTCTCCAGGGAACTCGGCAAGGGTGTGCCACCCTCACGTGGCTGGGGCCGTGCTGTGAGGGCTGGGGCCTTTGTGCTCTCAAGATAGCGTGGGGTGGTCCAGGGAGACCTCCTGGAGGAAGAAGGCCACAGAAAGAAGGCCCAGTGCCCTGAGGAGCACGGTGAGAGGCGCCCTGAAGGGGCCAGGCGTGGGGAGGTGGAGGAGAGAATACTCCTCGAGTGCTGGGCCCAGGAGTCCAAGCTAGACCTGAGGGCACTGGGAGCCAGGTAGCGTTTAGGAAGGGAAGGGATGGGTTGGTTTGGGGATGGCAGAAAGGGCCGGATGGGCCCAGGTGGGGCCATGGTTCAATGGGAAGATGCCAAGGCTGGCAGTAGACAGGAGCTGTGAAATGGAGAGGATCAAGTGATTGTTAGAACTGTTTTCCAGCATAAAGACAGGCCGACCAACTAGGATTCTTGAATGGGAAAGCAAGGAGTTTGAGCATCTGGCTAAAGGTCCTGGGGTGGGACCAGGCTGTGGGCATGCCAGGCCCCAGGGTACACAGCTGCCCCAGGATGGAGGAGGAGTCTGAGCTCATGACTCGGGAACCAGCCTGTGGTCGGAGGCTCACACCCAGCTGGCCGGGACAGGCAGGGATCATCTGCCCTCAGGTGGTCTGAGGCCCCTGCCTGGCCCTAGTGGGGTACCTGGAACCCCAAGGGAGAAACGTGGGGTGCCCTCCCCACCCCATTCTACCTCTTTTGCAGTAGGCAGGGCTCCCCTCCCCCAGGCCTTGCAGCTGCCTCTCTGGACAGAGGGAGGGGGAAGTGGCCAGAAGGGGAAGTGTGAGGAGTTCCCCTCCTGCCCGTCTGTCATCAGTCTCCTCAGGCCCTCGGAGTGGCGGCCCTGGGGCCCGGCCGCGGCCATGGAGCCTCTGGAGACCCCCGTCAAGGACGGCGTCCTCTACCAGCAGCACATCAAGTTCGGCAAGGTGGGGAGCCTGGCCGCCGGGCGGCCGCCTAGGACAAGCGGCGGGCCCCTGCCCGGGGGGACAGGCGGCGGGCCCCTGCCCCAGGGGACAGGCGGCGGGCCCCCGGCCCGGGGGACAGGCGGCGGGCCCCTGCCCGGGGGGACAGGCGGAGGGACAGGCGGCGGGCCCCCGGCCCGGGGGGACAGGCGGCGGACAGGCGGCGGGCCCCTGCCCGGGGGGACAGGCGGCGGACAGGCGGCGGGCCCCTGCCCCGGGGGGACAGGCGGGGGGACAGGCGGCGGGCCCCCGGCCCGGGGGGACAGGCGGGGGGACAGGCGGCGGGCCCCTGCCCCGGGGGGACAGGCGGGGGGACAGGCGGCGGGCCCCTGCCCGGGGGGGACAGGCGGCGGGCCCCTGCCCCGGGGGGGACAGGCGGCGGGCCCCTGCCCCGGGGGGGGAACAGGCGGCGGGCCCCTGCCCCGGGGGGACAGGCGGCGGGCCCCTGCCCCGGGGGGGACAGGCGGCGGGCCCCTGCCCCGGGGGGGACAGGCGGCGGACAGGCGGCGGGCCCCTGCCCGGGGGGGACAGGCGGCGGGCCCCCGCCCCGGGGGGGCCAGGCGGCGGGCCCCCGCCCCGGGGGGGCCAGGCGGCGGGCCCCCGCCCCGGGGGGGCCAGGCGGCGGGCCCCCGCCCCGGGGGGGCCAGGCGGCGGGCCCCTGCCCCGGGGGGGCCAGGCGGCGGGCCCCTGCCCCGGGGGGGCCAGGCGGCGGGCCCCTGCCCCGGGGGGGCCAGGCGGCGGGCCCCTGCCCCGGGGGGGACAGGCGGCGGACAGGCGGCGGGCCCCCGCCCGGGGGGGACAGGCGGCGGGCCCCCGCCCCGGGGGGCCAGGCGGCGGGCCCCCGCCCCGGGGGGCCAGGCGGCGGGCCCCCGTCCCGGGGGGCCAGGCGGCGGGCCCCCGCCCCGGGGGGCCAGGCGGCGGGCCCCTGCCCCGGGGGGGCCAGGCGGCGGGCCCCTGCCCCGGGGGGGACAGGCGGCGGGCCCCTGCCCGGGGGGACAGGCCGCCAGGATTGGGAGGAGGCGGGCAGGCATCAGGGCGGGGATCCAGCCTGGGTGTGGAGAAGTGCAGCCTCAGCGAGGCCCTGCCCCATTTACAGGTGAGAGGCCAAGAGCGGGGAGCCGGCAATGCCACGCTTGGGGCAAAGCAGAGCTGAGGGGCTGGCTAACCCAGCAGCCTTCCATCCCATCTGCTGGTGGCACTATGGCCCCTGAGAGGGCTGGGGGCTGAGCGGGAGGAGCCCCTAAAAGTGGGGCTCCATCCTGCCGAAGGAGGCTCGGCTCTTCCCAGGCCTGTCCTGAGATTGCCAGCCCTGCACACCCATAGCTCAGCTGCAGCTGCTGCCCAGGCAGATAAACCGTCTGTTTCCTTTGCTCGGAATTATTTGCATGTTTCCTTCCTTGCCATCATGAGACCGAGGCCTCCCTCCCACCCCAGCCCTTGCCCTGGCCTAACTGACCTTTTCTTTGCAGGTGGTGGGGGCATCGACAAAGCAGGGGTGTCGGGTGGGCTGCTCTAGCCTCTAGATATTATCCAGTAGAAGCCCCAACCTCGTGTGGTCTCACAACCTTTTGTTTTTTAAGTATTTTATTTTATTTATTTGGCCATCCTGGATCTCAGTGGTGGCGTGCAGGATGTTTTGCTTGCCACATGTGGGATCCAGTTCCCCGACCAGGGATCAGACCCAGGCCCCTGCATTGGGAGCATGGAGTCCTAGCCGCTGGACCACCAGGGAAGTCCCCCCTCATGACCTTTGAGAGACAAAGATACTAGTGCTTATGGGGGTCACAGTTGGGAAAGCGTGGGGGTAGATGTGAACCTAGGGCTGACTGACTCCAAATACAGGCTTTCCCCCTTGCCAAGCCAGCTCTGGCAAGGTATCCTGGGCTTCCCTGGTGGCTCAGATGGTAAAGAATCTGCCTGCAGTGCAGGAGACCCAGGTTCAATCCCTAGGCCAGGAAGATCCCCTGGAGAAGGAAATGGCAACCCACTCCAGTATTCTTGCCTAGAAAATCCCATGGCCAGAGGAGGCTGGTGAGCTACAGTCCATAGGGTCACAAAGAGTCAGACACAAATGGGCAACACTTCACTTTCACATGGCCTGAAGAGTGGGGAGTTGGAGGCTACCCTGGGTGGCCAGGAGCACTGGCTGACTGGCTTGTGTGGGGTTGAGCTGCAGGTTGAGAACTGCCACTTGAGGGTCATCTCCCCCATTTTTATCTTCTGCAGAAGTGCTGGCGGAAGGTATGGGGTCTACTCTATGCAGGAGGCCCCTCGGGCGTGGCCCGGCTAGAGAGCTGGGAGGTCCGGGATGGTGGCCTGGGGCCAGCAGGTGACAGGTCTGCGGGGCCTGGCCGGCGGGGAGAACGGCGGATCATCCGCCTGGCTGACTGCGTGTCCGTGCTACCGGCTGATGGTGAGAGCTGCCCCCGGGACACTGGTGCCTTCCTGCTCACCACCACGGAGCGAAGCCACCTGCTGGCTGCAGAACACCGCCAGGCATGGATGGGCCCCATCTGTCAGCTGGCCTTCCCGGTGAGCACAGGGCAGGTGGGTAAGGCATCTAGGGGCGGGCCGGGGAGACCATTTCACCCATACCTTGTTCATCCCCATGCTCATTCACATCCCATCACTCAGCAAGCACCTAGAAGCCTGGGATACAGCCCAGAAACCCACAGAACAAATCTCAGATGGCCATGCATGCTATGGAGAATATGAGAGGCTGAGTGGGACCATGAATGAGTAGGGGGATGTTAGACAGGATAGTCCAGGAAGACTTCTCAGGAGAGGACAAATAACCCACCAGGCAAAGATCTGAGAAAAAAGTGTCCTAAACACCGGTCTGAGAAGGCTCCTGAAAAGAGTGAGCAGCGTGGGCAAGGGCCCTGAGGCAGGGAAAAGCTTGATATTCAAGGAGCAGAAAGGCCAGTGTGGCCACAGGGTAAGGAGGGAGAGGGGACCCAGGAGGAGGCGACAGTGGAGAACTTAGTGGAAGCCAACTGAAACTGTGCTGGGCCACTTGTGGAGTCTGGGCTTTTATTCTGAGCAAGAGGGGAAGCCTCTGGGGAGTTGGACCCAGAAACTGAGTGTTTTAAAGCTTTGCAGGGTCTCTGGTGGACCAAAAGGAAATGAGTGGCAGTTCCTCAAAAATTAAACAAAGTTAACATATGACCTAGCAATTCTCCTCCTAGGCGTAGACCCAAGAGAACTGAAACAGGTGTTCAAACAAAACTTGCATGAGAATCTTTAGTGCAGCATTGTTCACAGTAGCCCAAAGATGCAAACCACCCACATGTCCATCAACGGATGAATGGATAAACTGAATGTAGTCTATCCATACAACAGAACATTACTTAAAAAGAATGAAGTACTGATACATGCTACAACATGGGTGGACACTGGAAACATGCTAAGTCAGAACAGCTAGACATGAAAGGCCACACACTGTGTGATTCCATTTACATGAAATACCCAGAATAGACAAATCCATAGTTACAGAAAGCAGCTTACAGGTTGCCAGGGCTGAGGAGAGAAGCAAATAGAAAGCAAAGACTTAATGCGTACAGGATTTCCATTTGGAGTAATGAAAAAGTTCTGAATTACATCTCCATCCACTTTAAAATGGTTAAAATGGTCAGTTTTGTGTTGTGTATTTTACCACAATTCTTTTGATTTAAAAAAAAAAAAGGTAAATAAAAAGGAGCAAAGAGACCAGTGGGAAGCCATTGCATTTGACCCTGGCTATGGTATCTTGGGGTTTCCCTGGTGGCTCTGATGCTAAAGAATCCACCTGCAAGGCAGAAGACCTGGGTTCAATCCCTGGGTTGGGAAGATCCCCAAAGGAGGGCATGGCAACCCTTCTCCAGTATTCTTGCCTGGAGAATCCCACAAACCGAGGAGCCTGGTGGGCTATGGTCCATAGAGTCACAAAGAGTCAGGCACTGAAATGACTTAGCATGGCATGGCACGTGGTATCATGGGCCAAGGGGGTCATGATGGAGATGCTAAGGGTCAGAGCCTGAAGAATGTTGGGGAAGATGGGGAGAGGTCAAAGATGGGAGAAACAGCGGCCATTCACTCGTGGGGCCCACCCTTGAAGCTCCCACCCGTTTACTGCTCCAAGGTGTCAGGGACACAGACAGACTGGCCCAGTCCCTGGCCAAACTCAGGGGCGATGGAGGACATCATGTGTGCCCTTCGCTTTACAGCTCTCAGCACCCTAAAAGGGGCAGCCGGTGGGGAAATAGGCTCAGAGTGGGACCCAGGGCCGTGCACTGTGTCACGGGCAGAACTGGGACCGACACTCGGGTCGCTGGGTGCCCCTGCTTGTCACAGACCCCAGGGAAAGGATATGGGAATGGGGAGGAAGGGCACTAACCTCTGACCTTGTCCCATTCCCTAGGGCACAGGGGAGAGTTCCTCGGGATCTGGGGAGGTGGAGGCTCGGCAGAGGAGCCTAGTCCCCATGGAGGAGAACTCAATCTACTCTTCCTGGCAGGAAGGTAAGTCGCGGAGATTACAGGGGCAGCCTTAGCACCAGCACAGCCGGGGCGGGAAGGTTTCTGGGACCCCAACCCGGGAGTCTGTGGCCCTCACGGCCGGTGCTTGCAGTGGGCGAGTTCCCGGTGGTGGTGCAGAGGACGGAGGCAGCCACCCGCTGCCAGCTGAAGGGGCCCTACCTCCTGCGGCTGGGACAGGACGCTCTCCAGCTGAGCGAACCGGCCAGCCCGCAGGTGCTCTACACCTGGCCCTACTGCTTCCTGCGAAAGTTCGGCGCCGACAAGGTGAGATGCTGGGCCGCCGCCCCGCTGGTCCCGCAGGGAAGGGTGGCGGGTGGCGCCCGGCCCCTCAAACCGCTGACTCCTCGTGCCGCCCCCTGCCCAGGGCGTGTTCTCCTTTGAAGCCGGCCGCCGCTGCGACTCGGGCGAGGGCCTCTTCGCCTTCAGCAGCGCCCGCGCCCGCGACCTGTGTGGAGCCTTGGCTGCAGCCATCGCCCGCCAGCGGGAGCGGCTTCCGGGGCCCCGGCCCTGCCCTCTGCCGCGGGCCACCTCACTGCCCTCGCTGGAGCCTCCAGGCGAGCTGCGGGAGGGGCCCCCGCGGCCTGAGACGCCCGGCTCGCGGAAGATAAGCGCGGCCGAGCCCGGGCCACAGAGTCTACCGCCGCTACTGGGCCCCGCGGTCTCCGAGGAGCCGCCGGCATTGCTCTACGCGTCAGTGTGCAAGAGGGCCAGCGGGCCCCCGAGCGCCGCCGCCGAACACCTCTACGAGAACTTGTTCGCGCCCGACGCCGGCTGCCGGGAGCTGGTGCAAGAGGGCCCGGGCGGCGGCAGCCCCCCGGCCAGCCCCATCTACCACAACAGCCAGGACCTGGGCTGGCCCGGCGCGGCCCACGACAGCAGCCTGGAGGGCCAGTACCGGCGGTTGCTGGAGCTGGAGCTGGCGGATAACGGCGACGAGGCCGCGGGGTCTGGCCGCCCTGGCGCGCACTCAGGCTTCAAGGCCAAGCTGGTGACGTTGCTGAGCCGAGAGCGGAAGAAGGGCCCGGTACCCTGCGACCGGCCCTGAACCACTTGGCGTGGCCGCCCTAGGAGAGGAGGGCGCTCTCCCTGGGACAAGAAAGCAGGGAGGACCACGGACATCGGGGGACGCAACCTTCACACGCACTCTAGCCTGGAGGGACAAGGCGGGAGCCCCCCCTCCCCCCGGTGTATAGTGTACAGATTTGCTGGTAATAAAGCCTTTTTAGTTCTCCTCTCTGTCCAGCCTCCTGGCCCACAGCGCTATCTCCATCCTAAGGGCTTCCCTGGTGGTCAGATGGTAAAGAATCCACCTGCAATGCCGGATTCCTGGGTTTGATCCCTGGGTCGGGAAGATCCCCTGAAGGAGGGCATGGCCACCCACTCCAGTATCCTTGCGTGGAGAATCCCACGGACAGAGGAGCCTGGCGGGCTACAGTCCATGGGGTGGAAAAGAGTCAGACACGACTGAGCGACTAAACACAGCAAGGCTCCCGGCAGTGGTATGCCCAGGTCCAAACAGATCCTCAAACACAGGGGTTGCAGCAAACACCAGTGCCCTGTGCTGGGTTCCAGGGACATACGTGACCCACCGCCAACCTCTGCCACCAGGAGGTTCAGGTCCACTGGGACAGGCAAGTGGAATGCAGATAATTATGGCTCCATGTGGTCCATGCGGTGGAAGTGACTCAGACAGTAGTAGGGCAGAGGGAGAAATAAGGCTTGCTGATGGGCGATGTACCCTCTGAATTGAGCGTAAAGGGGAGGCAGGGCTTCCCCAGGCTGGCAGCGAGCCCTGGAGCTTTCCAGGCAGAAGGTAGGCATGGTGGTTGCAGAGAGCAAGGGAAGAGCATGCACCAGAGGGCTCCTAGGGGCTTGAGGTTGAGTTGGCCGCTCATGAGAGGCCTGATCATCCTACAAGGAGCTGGGTTTCTCATCCTCAGTGGAGGGACACAGTCAGACCAGGGAAAACAGTGTGGAGGCTGATTTTGAGGGACCGGAAAGCCTGAGCTGGGGAGGAGTGGGAGCGGGGGAGGGGCAGGGGACAGGGACTTCAAAGATGTGCACACCCAAAACAGTCTCCGCTGAGACTCAAAAATGCACAGACCAAAAAAAAAAAAAAAAATGCAGACACTCCTGGGAAGTCCCTGGCCTCAGTCTCTTCCCTAGCCATCAAGGATAAAGATCAGATTATACACCAGACATGCATTCATTCGAGTCTCACCAATGCCTACTTTGTGCCAGGCACTGAGGACCCATGGCCATGTTCATGACAGCCGCAGTCCTGTTTTCAAGGAGGCCACATTCCAGAAGGAGATAAGGAGTCTCTTGAAGACTTCATTGCCTGCCTTACTGTCCTCCCCTTACCGCTGCTCCTGTCACTATCCCTGGGTCTCCATGCATACAAGCATCAATGCCCCCAAAGATCCAGCCTCCTGGCCCCTTGAGCTCAGCACCACCTCAGCTGCTCACCCCTTTGACACATCCTGAACTTCATCTTTATGATGGTGATGCTCCATCGTCACTGTCTCATTTCAAGTGTCTGCCTCTGGCTACCTGCTCTCCTTCCGGCCCATTTCCTCTAGTGTTGCCTATGTGGCTGCTCGCCCTTCTTACTGACCTGCACTGACCCTTTTCTCATTATCTGCACTACTCCAGTCCGTAATCCCATCCTTGCATTACTTGGATTCTGCCTTCTGCTCCCCTCTCCTTCCATCCTATTTTTGGGGCAAAGTCCCCAGCCTCAGGTGAACCCAATTCTCTGTGCCACCATAAAATTCCCATAACCAGGCTAACTGTGTTCTTTTTAACGATGTGATCTCAAACCTCAAAGAGCTAGGCTCTCCTTGCTGCCCAGAGATCCTGCGCCCCACAGTGGCTGCTTTTTTCCTCCCCAAGGCTCTCATAGCTTCTGCTCTCCATCCCTGACCATTCTCACATTTCTACTTAGGAAATGGCAGCCAACAGAAGCGAGCATCCTTTACCTCCCATTGCTTCATCTACTAGAGCAGCTGTATCTGCACCAGTCTCCCTCCTGCCCTAAAACAGAAGAGTGTCTGCTCCGGTCTCCTCTCACTTCCCCATGGCTTGGCAAATGGAGCTCTACCCTCTCTCCTTGACCTGTTAACTCCATCATCATCATCATCATTTCCAGCCACACATAAATATGCTCTATAATTTCTTTAAAACGAACCTCCCCTCGACCTCTTATTCTCCTTCAGCCACCTCCCCATTTCTCTCTTCCTCTTCACAGAGAAATTCCTCAAAAGAGTTGTTGATTACTCTCATTTCCACTTTCTCACCTCCCATTCTCCTTTCAACCAAATCCAGTCTCCTGGTGGTCTCCACAACTCCATCCCATTGCTCTTATTAGGGTCACCAGCCTTCTTTTTCCCCAAACAAAAGCAACCTGGACTCTCTTTGTGATCTAGACCCTCCTTACTTCTCAGCATTCCACACCCCTTCTTGGAATGCGGTCCTCACTTGATTTTCCTCCTCCGCACAGGTCTCTCCTTCCCAGACTCTTCTGTCACCTTCCCTGCCTGAGTTCTGTGCGGAACTTTGGCATCAGACACAGTGTAGTTCAACCCTAGCTGCATATGTAATCACCTGTTGTTGTTCAGTTGTTCAGTCATGTCTGATTTTTTTCAACCCCCTGGACTGCAGCACACCAGGCTTCCCTGTCTTTCACCACCTCCCAAAGTTTGCTCAAACTCATATCCATGGAGTCGGTGATGCCATCCAACCATCTCATCCTGTATCGACCCCTTCTCCTCCTGCCTTCAATCTTTCCCAGCATCACGGTCTTTTGCAGTCAAGTTGGCTCTTTGCATCAGGTGGCCAAAAGATTGGCGCTTCAGCTTCAGCATCAATCCTTTCGATGCAAATTCAGGATTTATTTCCCTTAGGATTGACTGGTTTGATTTCCTTGCTGTCCAAAGGACTCTCAAGAGTCTTCTCCAACACCACGGTTTGAAGGCATCAATTCTTTGGCACTCAGCCTTCTGTATGGTCCAGCTTCCACACCTGTACATGCATAACTACTGGAAAAACCATAGCTTTGACTATACAGATCTTTGTTGGCAAAGTAATGTCTCTGCTTTAAATTATGCTGTTTAGGTTGGTCATAGCTTTTCTTCCAAGGAACAAGCATCTTTTATTTATTTATTTATTTATTTTTTCATTTATTTTTATTAGTTGGAGGCTAATTACTTTACATCATTGCAGTGGGTTTTGTCATACATTGAAATGAATTAGCCATGGATTTACATGTATTCCCCATCCCGGTCCCCCCTCCCACCTCCCTCTCCACCCGATCCCTCTGGGTCTTCCCAGTGCACCAGGCCCGAGCACTTGTCTCATGCACCCAACCTGGGCTGGTGATCTGGAACAAGCATCTTTTAATTTCATGGCTGCAGTCACCATCTGCAGTGATTTTGGAGCCCAAGAAAATAAAGTCTATCACTGTTTCCATTGTTTCCCCATCTATTTGCCATGAAGTGATGGGATGCCATGATCTTAGTTTTCTGAATGTTGAGTTTTAAGCCAACTTTTTCACTCTCCTCTTTCACTTTCATCAAGAGGCTCTTTAGTTCCTCTTCGCTTTCTGCCATAAGGGTGATGTCATCTTCATATCTGAGGTTATTTCTCAGATTTCTCCTGGCAATCTTGATTCCACCTTGTGTTTCATCCAGCCCGGCATTTTGCATGATGTTCTCTGCATATAAGTTAAATAAGCATGGTGACAATATACAGCATTGACATACTCCTTTCCTAATTTGGAACCAGTCCATTGTTCCATGTCTGGTTCTACTGTTGCTTCTTGACCTGCATACAGGTTTCGCAGGAGGCAGGTAAGGTGGTCTGGTATTTCCATCTCTTTAGGAATTTTCCACAGTTTGTTGTGATCCACACAGTCAAAGGGTTTAGCATAGTCAATGAAACAGAAGTAGATCTTTTTCTGGAATTCTTTAGCTTTTTCTGTGATCCAACAGATGTTGGCAATTTGATCACTGATTCCTCTGCCTATTCTAAATCCAGCTTGTACATCTGGAAGTTCTTGGTTCACTTACTGTTGAAGCTTGAAGTAGAGCCTTTTTAAAATGCTGATGCCTCGGCCCACACATATGGTCTCAAATTTCATCTGTCAAGGCAGGCCTTGGGCACCACTTTTTCAGCTCCCCAGATAATTGTAGTATGCACCCAAGGCTGAGAACCACAGTCCTAAGTGAGTCAAGGTGGTCTCCAGACCTCACAGGCCATCTAAATATTGATGACTCCTAACATATATCTTCAGCATAGATCTAGCCACTGAGATCCAGATTTAAGATTCCAACTGCACTCGAGAGTTCTAGGTGTCTAAAAGGCATCTCCAAATGTAGTGTGTGAAGGGAGGTTGTGGGGAGGTGCATTCTGTGCTACCCCATGGTGTTTGTGGCCACACAGGACAAAACCCAGAAAAATGTTGGAAACACTGAGAGGCAGATTTCAGCCCTACTTACAGACGGTCCTCCTGACAGGCAAAGTCTTCCCACGATTGATCAGGCTGCTTGCAACTGAGCAAGCTGAAGCTAGGAGGTGTCACAGTACTTTCAGCAAGGACCTCTTGGCCCCAGTGGCAGGTCAGCTCCTGCCACCTCACAGAATGCCAGGACACACTGGAGGTTACCTAGAGAGTCAAGATGTTGGCCAGAACTGGAATCCAGAACTCTGGGTCCTTGGTCTGGCATGCTTCTTTTTTTTTTGCATGCTTCTTTTTAAAACTCTTCTAATACTTTTATAATTTTACTTGTAAAAGTAGATTTTACTTTATTTTCACAAATATTTATTTTTATTTATCTCTTTGATGGCACTGGTCTTTAGTTGTAGCATGTGGAATCTAGTTCCCTGACCAGGGATTGAACCCAGGCCCCCTGCATTGGGAGCGAGGAGTTTTAGCTACTGGACCACTAGTGAAGTACCATAAAAGTCGATTTTAATCTATATGTGATATATTTTTATATATGGTATGAGGTGGAGCCTTGTTTTTTTAAGACAATAACCAATTGTTCCAACACAACTTATAGAATGGTTTTTCTTTCTATTGAATGGTCTTTTAAAATTTATTTTCAGTGTATATTCATTTTTAAATTGAAGTGTAGTTGATTTGATTTATAATGTTTCAACTATACAGCAAAGTGATTCAGTTATATATATATATATATGTATGCATACATAAATATGTTCTTTTTCAAATTCTTTTCCATTATGGGTTATTACAAGATATTGAATATAAATTTATGGTAGGTTCTTGTTGCTTTGGCATGCTTTTTTATTACAAATCTAAACCTGTTTCATGGCAATTTTTGTGGGGTTCCAATCAGACAGTAGAAGAGAAAGTCTTTGGAAACATCTAGGGACCTGGCCCTGCAGCTACAGGTATCCTGACCACCAGGGGGCACTGTGACCTAGCCCACGGGCTGTTCCTCCCTACCCAGGGGCTGCCTGTGCAGGGAGCTCTTCTGGTGGCTCCACCTAGGTCTGAGCCCTGATCCCAAGGAATGGGATCCCTGGCCCTCCCTGCTGGCGGACTGCCTGGAGCCCCAGGCTGCCACTTCGCCTTTTCCTCATTTACTGTTTCACTTTCTCAATCCTTCCTTCAGCTGTTTATTCATATCCGCTGTGTGCAGTCACTGGGGAGATGGTGAACAAGACAGACAAGCCCCTGTTCTCATAGGACTGACTTTCTAAGGCAGACAAAGCACAATGAAGAAACAAACACTTAATATAATGTCAAACGGTGGTAAGTGCTATAGGGAAAAAATAAGGCAGGAAAAGGAACTAGTGCATTATGCAGGTGAGGTGTCGGGGGCTGCTGTTTTAGATAGGATGATCAAGAAAGGAGGAGGCGACATCTGAGCAGAGAACTGAACACAGTGAGAGAGCCTGTTGTTTTGATATCTGGGAGAAAGTGTTTCAAGCAGAAGGAGTCGCAAATACAAAGGCCCTGAGGCAGGAATACCTTTGCTGTGTTGGAGGAACACTGAGGAGGCCAAGTGACTGGAGTGGATGGAGTGAACGAGGAGGTGAGTGACCCAGTTTACTGTGTCATGGTGGATGAAGTTTATTAGTGTCATGTACATCTGAAACACTTTACTTTCAAGTGTGACACCAGCCCACTGGAATGCTAAAAGCTGAGGGTGATTTGATGTGATCTCTGCTTTACGGGGACTTTGGCTGCAGCATTGAGAGAACTCTGGACTGGGTAAGAGTAGTAGCAGAGAGCTCTCTTAGGAGACCGTTAAAATGTCCAGACATGAGAGAAGTGGCAGGGACATACATGGAAGCCAAATGTGGAACAAATTCTGAAGGCGGAATTTGCAGAATCTGAAGTATGAGACAGAAAATAAAGGAAGGAAAACATAATTTTTACTGGACCAGGCAGATGAATAATGCTGCTCTTAAAAAAAATTTTTTTTTTCTTTTTTTACTTTACCAAAGTGAGGAAGGAGTTAGGGAGGTGGAGAAATAGCAAGTTTAAATTGACTGATGCTGAAGCTCCAATACTTTGGCCACCTGATGCGAAGAGCTGACTCATTGGAGAGACTGAAGGCAGAAGGAGAAGGGGAGAACAGAGGATGAGAGGTTGGATGGCATCACCGACTCAATGGACATGAGTTTGAGCAAAATTTGGGAGGTGGTGAAGGACAGGGAAGCCTGGTGTGTTGTAGTCCATAGGGTCACAAAGAGTTGGACATGATTGAGCGATTGAACAACAACAGTGATGATTTGAGATAGACATCCTAGGTTTGACAGACTGTTGGATATTGGAGTCTGGGTTTGTTGGAGAAGGCCAGATCCGGACATATAAGTTGGGAGTCCTTGGCATATAGGTGTTATTGATAATCACAGAACAGAATGTGGTCCCAGAGAGTGAATGTAGAGAGGAAAGAGCTGATGGCCATGTTGGAAAGCAAATGAGGAACTGAGAAAAGAGGTGGAGAAGGAGAATTCAGTAGGGCAGGAGAAAGGATAGTGGAGAAGAAGCAGTCAGTGGGACAGGATGAAGTCATGGGGAAAAGGGAGTGTACCCTGACCAGAGCTGTTTCTAGGTAGGGAAAGAGGAAAGCTGAGAAATCACCATTGGTTGAATAACCTGGAAATCATTAGAGACCTTTTGAAGAGGGAATTAATTCAGAGGACTGGTGGGGACAAGAGCTTGACTGAGTGGGTTCAGGAGAGAATGGGAGGAAAACGGGGAGGAAAGGTGATAGACAACTCCAAGGAATTTTACCCTCAAGGAGAGTAGAATAAAGAATAAAAGAGAGATTGCTGAAAAGTGATGTGAGATCAAGAGAAAATTTCTTTAAAGATGAGACCTCTTACATCAGTTTGTGTAGTGAGGGGAATGATGCAGAAGAGGATGAAATATGATAATAGTGGAAAGGGGAGAATCGCATTGGCCATGCCCTGAGGAGTGGACATCTGTTCACTCACTAGCAAACTTGGGTCCCTGCTCAATTTCCCCCGCTGCCTAGCTAGCCGCCTGGGCTGAGCACTGGGTCAAAGTGGGAACTCTGACACCCTCATCAGAGTCGCTGCCGGCTCTGGAGCGGGTAGCAGGACAAAGCCCATCAGGATAGTCAGCACTTAGGTGGGGTCGCTGGGCTGCTGGCGCTGACTGCGGGGGGTCGGCGGTAGGAATTGGTCAGGATTGAGAAACGATTGGGGCCAGAGCCAAGGGTCCCTCCACCTGTGTCGGCTGTCATTATTTTCTGCCGTCGGTGGAATGTTCTGCAAACTTAGCTTCACGCTCCCCTGTGTCCTCCTCAACTAAGCCCACCTCGAGGTCCCCCCCACCCACTAACTCTCCACCAAATCCGTCCGATTTAGAAATTCTGGAGCCGCCGATGGCTGTGCCTTACGGCAAACTGTGCCTATCTTCACGACGGCCCTGTGAAGCGAGTATTATTGTCCCATTTTTCCGAGTTGGAAACTAAGGTTCACTGCCAACTCAGATCCAGATCTGTGTGGTTCCCAAGTAGACTTTCTTCTCGCTCCGCCAGCTGGAGGCGCAAAGGGCCAGGAACGCGGAGGGTTAGGATCCCAAACTAAGTGTTCAGCTGCCGAGACCCGGCCCAGACTCCGCCCAGACACCGCCCAGGCTCCGCCCCACCAACGGGACGAAGGAGGGCTGTGTCTTAGAGCTCAAAGCGAGATGGGACCTGATGATTGGGTGGGGCGGAAGGATTGGGTGGGGCTTCCCACTGCCCGGGCGACGGCGACTTTGGAGGGGGCGGGGCATATGGCTCCGCCCCCCTACGCGGGCTCAAAGCGGATGGCAGCGGCGGGGGCGGGGTCAGAACTCGGGCGGCGGATCCCAGCGCGGCTCTTTGGAGCCCGCCGCGGAGCAGCGCCCCGGCGGGGCCCAGGAGGTACTTGCGACAGCGCGGGGTGTCTCGGGCCGGATCAGGCGGGGGGCAGAGGCCTAATGGGGACCACAGAGGGGGCTGGGGGTCGTAGCCAGCTCTGCACGTCCTCCGGTGGGCCGTCGCCCCTACCCCCGCCCCCGCCTTCCTGCGGCGAAGCCGGCTGTGGCGGGGCTGATTGGCGCCTGCGCCGCTTCCTGCGCCTGGGACTCGGCCAGTGCTTGGGGCCCAGGCTAGGGCCCGGGGGAAACTGAGTCACGTTGGGACGGTAGCAGTCGTGTGTGGGAGGCAACACCCCCGCAGGGGTGCAGGATAAATCCGCTTCCTGGCCATGCTTTGGAATCCCAGCCCCCACCATTCCCCCCAGGGGCCGCGCCCCCGCCCAGAACCCAGAGCTCCCAGGGGTCCTGCCCTGGCTCTCTGTAGCTTTGACTGGCCTTGGAATGGCTAGGATTCGCTCCAGCCGCCTCCCTCCACCCCTCTCCACCCCTCCCCCTCGCGGCCCAAGCCCCCGTGTTCTCTCCGCACAGTGTCAGTTTACACGCCTTATATAGTCCGAGCAGGCTCCAGCCGAGGCCTGCCTGTCGGGACCTGGGGGCGGGGGAGAGGAGCGCCGGCCCTGGACTGGCATTGCTGTCCAGACCAAGACTCAAGACTGGCTGGGAAGGAGGTCATGCCAAAGTAGTCCTGCGGTCCACTCCTGGATGAGAGGAACCTGAAAACTAGATGCGGGCTTCCTTCACCGCCCCCCTCCCCCTCCCCAGTCCTTTGGGGAAGGGGGGTTGCCCCTGTCTTTCCAAAGTGAGTCTGCCAGCTAGCAGCCCAGCCCGACCTAACAGGGTGCCCGCCTACCCTCCCCCTGGGTGTGCTCAGCGTCTGCCAGTGCTTGCCTGGCGCTAGTCCAAGGCTGGTGTCCAGAGTCGGGCCTGCCTGTGCACCCACCATGCATCACTCACCTTTTCTCTCCTCTCAGGAGCAGCACTATGGATTCCTTCAAGGTGGTGCTGGAGGGGCCAGCACCTTGGGGCTTCCGGCTGCAGGGGGGCAAGGACTTCAATGTACCTCTCTCCATCTCCCGGGTGAGCCTAGATTGAGGGAAGGGTGCCCCTAGGGGTCTGTGTGCTCAGATCTCCAGTGGGTGGCAGGAGGAGTCTGAGCAGGAATGAGACCAGGAGGTGTCCAGGTCCAGAGCTGTGGGCACCTGCCACAAGGACTCCCAACTCGGTAGATACTGGGAAAGGAGCCCTCAGACTTCCACAGCACTGCACTGCACCTTCTAGGCTCAGGAGTGTGCCCATTCTTCAGGAGGTGAGCCTGAGGTCTCCAAGAAGTGTCTATAAATTGCTTGAGGAGCAATGCTTGGTGCTCGGCCTCTGGGAGGGCACTCTGACTGCAGGAGCTCACTTCATCCTCATTGCCACCTAAGGGATAGCAACTATCATCCTGTTTGTTCAGATGAGATAACTCAAGACTCATTGAAGGGACTCTTTCATCAGTTCCATGGCAAAGCAGGCATGGGGCTTCAAACACAGGGTTGGCCTGCAGTTTTTGTGGGTGGATAAGCTTCTCCCCAGCCCAGGTGAGGACTTGTATCCCATTCACTGGTCCCATTCAGGATGCAGTGCTCTTTGGGTTTCTAGGGCTCTGACTTCCAACTCCTGAGGGCCTGTCCTGGTGGGGGTGGAGCTGGAGGCTGGCTCCTCCCTGTGGCAGGGGGATTGCCTTATAAGCCCAAGAATGCAGCCCCATGCTGGGATAGCCAACTGGTGGCTGGAGTCTGCAGAGCTCAAGAAGGCTGGCCTAGGCCTGGAACCCTGAACCCCATCAGTGGGCCCCTCAGTCAGGCTGTGGCTCCGACTGTGGGATCAGTTGTGGGACACAGGGAACAAAGCATCTGCCCTGAGAGAGTGAGGCCAGCTCTTGGGTTGGTGTCTCTTGACTGTAGTCTGGGGGTCAGGAGAGGGCAGGGACTTCCTGTCCCCATATCTGCTTGTCCAGAGAGGCCCACCCAGGCTCCTGGTCGGCAGGCAGCTATTGGCTTGAAGCCCAGGGCAGGCACAGCCTGGAGGGGTCTAGAGAGCCCAGCTTGAGAGGGGCCCAAGGTAGAGTCTGTTGTAGTTGGGCTTGGTGGCCAGGACCTGCAGGCAGTCACTGTTCCCAGGGACCCTTCTGCGGGGTTTCCTGGAAGCTGCTTTGCCAGCAAGGTAGCTAAGGGCACTGGTCTCCCTATTACATACCCCCAGCCCGTACATAATACTCAAGCCTTGCCAGCCCTGGGAACCCATCCTATACTCCCCTTCCTGGGAAAGTGCTGGTCAGTGTGGCTGGGAGCTTGGCTGACCTCTGAGCCTCAGTTTCTTCATTGGTGGGGATGGGCAACAAAGCAGCCTAAGGGATGGACTTTCAGATGTGGCCTGTTGGGGGCACTCTGAGCTCGGGCTCTGTTAGCAGCCCCAGCATGCGGGTGGGGCCACCGGCTGAGCCCAGCCCTGGAGTTGGACCTAGGCCCTGGTGGGTGGGAGCCAGGGTGGTCTTTTCTGAGCTGGGCTGGGCCCCCTCCCTCTCTCCTGACCCTAGCATGGAGGAGGAGAGGGAGGGGCTAGGGCTGGCTGTAGGCCCAGGCCTGGGAGATGAGGTAATGTCTGGGACTTGGGGGTTGGGCTGCTCAGTGGAGCCCTCAGGCTGACTCACCCCCTACTCCGTGTAGTGTCCAGCCCCCTGGCTTTTTCTCTCCTTGGTCCCTTGGGCCTGCTTGCTTTTCTCTCCAGACACACCCCACCCCCCATCCCCAGGTCTCTTCTGCTCCTGTCTCCACCTCTGACCACTCCTCTGTCCCTCCTGTGTCCTCCTGTCCTCCCCATCCCAGAGAAGGAAGTAGTTGCCAGTTCCCCATCCCCTCTCTGGGAGCCAACAGCTCCAGCTCAACCAGAGACCCCCACCTCCGTGGGCTTAGCACTTCCCGGGAGCCAGCCTGTGTGGGTAGGGAGTGGCCAGACCAGGTTTCCCTTCTACTGACTCACTGTGACCTTGAATAAGTCACTTCCCCTCAAGGGCATCACTTCCCCATGCCCATTATAAGGGGTTGGATTGAACTAGAGGTAAGACAGGGGATCCAAGCCCCAAACCCAGCTTGAGGGTCAGAGAATCTTTCCATTCAGAGGGCTGTCCTCTGAGCCCCAGCTCTCAACAATTCCCTGGTGGCTCAGATGGTAAAGAATCCTGCAATGCAGGAGACCTGGGTTCGATCCCTGGGTTGGGAAGACGCCCCTGGAGAAGGAAATGGCAACCCACTCCAGTATTCTTGCCTGCAGAATTTCATGTACAGAGGAGCTACAGTCCATGTGTTAACAGAGAGTCAGACACAACTGAGGGACTAACACTTTCACTGTACTTTGCTCAACAGAGGTGGCCTAACAGGGTGGAGCCTTAGAGTCAGGGTCCTGGCCCTGCCTCTTGAGTTGCTAGCTAGGCAACTAGAGGCAAGTTACTTAACCTCTCTGTTTTCCCATGTATAAAATAGGTATATTCCCAGACTCTCCTCCACAGGGTTTTTGGAGGATTCAGTGTGTGGTAATACTAGGTACTTGATAAATGTAAACTTCTGTTAGTACTTAGCAAGTAAAGAAGGGGCTGCCCAGTTGTCTTACCCTTCTGACTTCTGAAGCATGAGGTAGAACCATCAAACCAAGCTCTCTCTTCTTGCCCTAGTGCGATCAGTCTCTGGGTCTAATCCCTCTGCCACCTCTCTGGAACCTCTTACCTCCTCTCCCTGCCCGAACTCCTGAGTATCGGCCCACCTGAGGAGCCTTATGGCAGCCCGTACTCCACAAACCTCCCCGACTTGTGAAGTGTGATTCTGCCTCCCAGTACTTCCCCACAAGCCAGTTCAAGGCCAAGCCCGTTGCCAGATGGCCAGGCAGCCCTGTGGGCTTAGACTTACGAACCACAGTGCTACTTCTGCCTGTGTTGTTGCCACTAGTCTAGAGGACTAGGAGGGCCCAATTGGGTTCTTCAGGGTCACCTATATCAAGACCCTGGGAAATACCCACCCTGGGCCTTAAAACTGGTGCTACCTAACCTTGAGAACAATTCTTTCAGCACTTGAGGTCTTCATAAGTGTTGGATTCTCTCACACCCTAGGCAGCCCATTCCACTCTGTTTTCGCCAAAGCTCACCACTTCCCAGAAGTCATCTTCATGGTTTCAGCTTCATGCTGCTGACTGTTCCTTCCATCCTGCTATTACTCCTCAGTTGCCATGGGAACCAGGGATCCCCCAACGCAGAGCCCAAAGGATTGTGGGGAGAGGCTGATGTGGCAGTCGAGGGCTTGGGGTTGACACCCATATTTACAGCCTGTGAAGCCCCCAGCTGACACTCTGGGCCCCATTTGGGCACTGATCACTGGGAACCTAGAGGTGATGGGGGGTATTTCTGGTGCTCCAAGGGTCCTGGTGGATCCCTGCAAATGGCACCAGGACTGGGTGCTAGGAGTGTAAGAGGTGAGTGAGCGCTCAGGGAGGAACTTGCCACATGCACAAGCCAGAGGGCAGGTCTGGTGGGTGGGATGGCCTGGGCAAGAGGCCAGCAGAGACCTCAAAAGCTTCAGTTAGAGCTGAAGCACTTGGGTTTTAGCCTGAAGGTGGCTGCATGTTGATGTCAGCAGCTTCTGAACCGTGAGGAGGGTCCCTGGAGGTGAATGAATGTGTAGGCGGAGTGCTTGAAGTGGTGGTGAAGCTCAAGCGAGCCCCACCCCCTCCCAGATGGCTTTAGTATCCAACAGTAGTCCAGGAACACGTTGAATGAAGAGACCCCTGGGTTCTGCGAGTGGGGCAGCCGAGGAAAGGCAGGGTTGGCTGCTGTTTGCCTGAGTTTGGTCAGCAGAGTCTTGGCCCTCCATGATCTTCCATCTCTCCATAGCTCACCCCTGGGGGTAAAGCTGCACAGGCCGGCGTGGCCGTGGGTGACTGGGTGCTGAGTATTGATGGCGAGAACGCGGGGGGCCTCACACACATCGAAGCCCAGAACAAGATCCGTGCCTGCGGGGAGCGCCTTAGCCTCAGCCTCAGCAGGTAAGCCTGAGGTGAGCAGCCCTGGCAGGTGGGCATGCCCTTGGGCGTGGCCCATCATCACCGCTTCCCCTTCTCTTCTAGGGCTCAGCCGGCTCAGAGCAAACAGCAGAAGGTAGGGGATGGGCTTGGGATATGTGGGCAGCAGGCGGGGTGGGACTGGACATCCAGGCTCACCTGCCCGCCCTGGTGCATCCTTGGTCCCCCCCATCCCTGGCCGGGAGTAGAGGGTGGAGGCCAGAGCTGGGGAGTCTGGGAACTGGGAGTTGGGCCAGGGACTGCCGCACGGTCAGAGCACCATGCATGTCTGCCTGTCGGTCCATCCGTCTGCCTGCCTGCCTCCTTCCCTCTCTCCCGCCGGCCTGTGCTGCAAGCTGCACTAGCCCACCCGCCCTCGGACTGCGTGGGCTGAGATCATTGCTCCCAGATGGGTCCCTTGAAACCTGAGTCTCCCCCTCCCCGGAGCCTCAGGCCAGATGTGTGGGGGTAGGGCTGGAGTACCGCTGGCCTCTTCGTGCCAGGGGACGCCCCACTCTGGCCAGATCCCCCGCCTCCTCCCGCCCTGCCCGCCCTCCCCGCTCTGTCTCTGCCCAGGCCCTGGCCCCCGCCGCGGACCCCCCGCGGTACACCTTTGCACCCAGCGCCTCCCTCAACAAGACGGCCCGGCCTTTCGGGGCGAACCCGCCCGCAGACAGCACCCCGCAGCAGAATGGGTACGTCTGTCCTGCCCGTCCACGCTATGTCTCCACCTCCGCACGCCCGCCGGCTGCCCGCTGCTGCTCTGTCTGTGCTGCGCCCCAGCCTGGCCCGAACCGTGCGACAGCGACCCCTGGTGGCTGGGGCGGGTACTGCAGGCACAGGGGTGTGGCTCCTGCCTTGGGCCGGCCCCCCTGGGGGCTGTGAGCAAGGCAGCGCCGCCCCCTACGCGGTGGTCGCCTGGGGTTGGGATTTGATGTTGGCCGACTGAGCCCAGATACTCAGTGCAGCCTTCCCCCTGGCTATTCTGACCCCTTGCCATCTTTCTTCCTCCCCTTGTCTATCTCTTTGTACCTTTATCTGTCCATCTGTCTTATTTCCTTCACAGGTGCAGACCCCTGACAAGTCAGTGAGCCCCCTCTGCCTGTCCCTCTCTTCCTTCCTTTTGGCACTCTGGGTGGTGGCCCCTCCCCACTCTGGCTGTCGTCCTTTCACCTTGATTGCCCTCCTCCCCTCTCACTTCCCTACCCCACCCCTCACCCAGCAGGGCACTGGCCTTGCCCGCCCCTCTTCCCCTCACTCTCGCCCACCTGTATCAAGTCCGGGGAGGGGCCGCCCCTGCTGCCCAGCCCGGCTTGAGGTTCTGAGCCCCACCCTCCCCACAGACAGCCGCTCCGACCGCTGGTCCCAGATGCCAGCAAGCAGCGGCTGATGGAGGACACAGAGGACTGGCGGCCGAGGCCTGGGACAGGCCAGTCCCGTTCCTTCCGCATCCTCGCCCACCTCACGGGCACCGAGTTCAGTAAGTGCCAGCCCAGGGAAGGGCGGACTCCCCTCCTGGTCCCCCAGCCCGGGCCCAGGCTTCCGGCACCCTGTGACCCTCTACCAGGGCTCAGGGCTGGGGTGGCCTTCTGTCTGCTCTTGGTCAATGCCTGCCTCTGCCCTGTCAGTGCAAGACCCGGATGAGGAGCACCTGAAGAAATCAAGGTAACAGGACCAGCTCCAGCCCCTCTTTCTCATTTCTGGCCTCTCCCAGCCCTGTCTGCTCCTGGCCATCCCTAGCCAGGTTTATCCGTTCTCCTTCCTTCCTTCGGGCCTCCCTCCCTGCCACCCTTCCATCTCTCCTTCCTTCCACTTCCTCCTCCTTCTCTCTCTACCCCTCAGGGAAAAGTATGTCCTGGAGCTGCAGAGCCCACGCTACACCCGCCTCCGGGACTGGCATCACCAGCGCTCTGCCCATGTGCTCAACGTGCAGTCGTAGCCTGGTCCTCGCCGGCCGGCTGCCCTCTCTGCCTCTTTCTTGCTGTTCCTCCACCCCAGGGCACCTCCCCTTGGCGCCTCCAGCTTCTGCCTACCTCACCCATCCCTTTTCTGCCCCTGGACTGAGTCTCCTGCTGGCCTGGCCCCAGCTGCCCTCCTGGCACAGGGCCCGGCTCCATCTGACACTGCTGCCTTCACTCTTTGCCCCTATGGTACTGCTGTCTGCCAGGTCTGTGCTGGCTTTTTGGGCACGCAAATAAACATTCTTAGCCCTGCTCTCTCTGCCTCTCTTCTCTATCTTCGTGGACTTGGTTTGCATTTGGGGTCGGGGGTGCTAGATGGTTCAGATCCAGTGTGGGCCCTGCCAATCTGGGTCTCAGTGGGTGGGGGTACCCAGCAAAAGGGCCCTGCCATCAGAGAGACCCTCGTGAATGGCCCCAGAAGCGAGAGCCCTGCTTCACCTCCCAGCCCTGTGCGACAGACCAGCCAGCTGGAACCTGGCCAGGAGAAGTTGCCCTCCCCATCCCTGCCCTGGGGGGACCTGGAGTCCTCTGCTCTCCTGCACCCAGGCATCTCTCATGGGGCCAGCAGGACCAAGCTTGGGGGGTGGGGCCATGCCAGGAGCCTCGGCCGTGCAGGGCCTTGAATGACAGATCTTACAGCCAGGTGCCCAGGATGGAAGCCCCAACCCCAGCCTCAGCTACACCCCAGGAACCCTGGCCTGGTGAGAGAGCGTGGGCTTGGGCTTGGGGAAGGGTGGGTAACCACCAGAGGCATGGGGGGCGGGCCCCTCCAAGCTGCCCCGGGCTCTCCCCACTGTTCTGTGGTGTCCCCGGGCACCCCCATGGAGCCACTTTCCCTGGCCTTGGCAGGCCCTACCACCCCCAGTCCCACGAGCCGCCCACCCTGGGCTGTGGACCCTGCATTTGCTGAGCGCTATGCCCCGGACAAGACCAGCACGGTGCTGACCCGACACACGCAGCCAGCCACACCCACGCCTATGCAGAACCGCACCTCCATCGTGCAGGCCGCCGCTGGAGGGGGCCATGGCGGGGGCGGTGGCAGCGACGGCAAGACTCCTGTGTGCCACCAGTGCCACAGGGTCATCCGGTGGGTGGCCCCGTCCCTTCCCACCCCGGTCTTTTCCTGAACCGGAACTCCAGCCCTGGTGTCTTTCCGACCGCTGCTCCTCCCATCTATCTCCCTACTCATCTCAGCTGCCCCCTGCTCTGCCTCTCTCCAACATTTGCCCTGGTGAAATGGAGGGGGTGCCAACGACACAGCCAAGCTGCAGCCCTAGACTCGCTGTTCTCTGGCCAGGAAGGGCCTCCCTGCTCCCAGCCCCCTCTGCCTTTCTCCTTCCTGCTCACTTGGTCTCTCTCTGCTAAGCCTCTTAAGTCCCTCCCTCTCTGCACTGCTCCCCAGGGACCAGCAGTCCCACAGCCCCCCAGAATCGGATCTGTGTCAGGCCCCAGAGCCTTCCTAGTTCTCATCCCAGGCTCTGCCCTGCTCTCAACTCCTGTCAGCTCTTAAGCTCTGGAAAGCACCCCCTCGTTCAGACATCCCCATTTATCTGGGATGGCCAGGTCCCTCTCCAGGCCAACGGGACACAGTGGGCACCAGGCTCAGCTCAAGTGCCCTCTGGCCTTCAGGGCTCACAGGTACTCCAGACCTCCTGTCTCCCAGGACACCAACCCCTTGGGTTCAACTTATTAGGCTCAAGTCAGTAGTCCTCACCCAGTGTCACCTTCCTCCCTTTTCTGACGCTTCCCTTCTCCCTCACCTCCTGTCATCAAAACAGTGCAGCTTTTTAAAATATTTATTTGGCTGCATCTGATTTTAGTTGCAGCACATGGAATCTTAGTCGCAGTGCATGGGCTCAGTTGCCCTGAGGCATGGGGGGGTGTTAGTTTCCCAACTAGGGATTGAACCCGTGTCCCCTGCCTTGGGAGGCAAATTGTTAACCATTGCACCACCAGGGAAGTCCCACAACAGTCAGCTTTGTCTTGCTGTGTGATCTTAGGCAAGTCACCTTTCAAGCCTGTCTCTTCCCTATTTGGAGATGAAGAGAATGAACATTCCCTCCAAGGTTTCATAATAGGTGTGGGGTAAACCCTGTGGGGTGCTGGCCAGGAACCCCGACTTCATTTGCACCCACTCCTGCTCACTGCCCTTGCTTTCCCCTGCAGGGGCCGCTACCTGGTGGCGCTGGGCCATGCGTACCACCCTGAGGAGTTTGTGTGCAGCCAGTGTGGGAAGGTTCTGGAAGAGGGTGGCTTCTTCGAGGAGAAGGGGGCCATCTTCTGCCCACCCTGCTACGATGTGCGCTATGCACCCAGTTGTGCCAAGTGCAAGAAGAAGATCACCGGCGTGAGTGGGGCTGGTGGCTGGCGGGGGACTGGGAAGACAAGCCTGACTCTTCAGCATTGAGGAGTGTTGAGCAGCTCCTGGGCTGGGGGGGCTGTCCCTGCGGGACCCCGTTGGAACCTTACCAGCCTCACAATCAGGCTACTATATCGATCTCACATTATATTAGCGAGGACTGTCTTAACAGGTGACCTAAATCTTAACTCTAAAGGGCTCAAGCAGGAGAGAATTGGCGCCAATAATCAGAAAGGCTGAGGGATGCTAACTTCTGGCCCAGTTGAATGCAGATCCTGAGGTCGTCAGGAGTCTTTCTGCCACTTGCCTCTGGTTTCATCTGTGTTGGCTTTGATCCCAGCATGCTTTTCTCTAGAAAGCGGCAAAGATGCTGCTACATCAATGGCTCCAGGGTTAAATCTCCCTAGGTTAGCACCACAGAGAGAAAGATAGCACCTCTGTGCCAGCTGATGCATCAAGTCCCAGTGCTGATGCTCATTGGCCTGGCTTGCTTCACATGTCCATCTCTGAACCAAGCCCTGTGACTCTAGTTGGTCAGGCCCAGGTGACACTCACCCCTGGAACGGGGTCTAGTTAACTTGCCTGAACCATAGGACTGGTTCTTTGAACATAAAACCAGGGTGACATTACCCCAAGAGAGAGGGTGAGTGCTAGTCAGGCCAAAACAAGAGATGGCTACTGTGTTAGGATTGCATTCAGCTTCAGTAATAGAAAAAACTCCAGTATAGAGATTGAAACAGAAGGGGTAATCTTTACTTCAATTGCAAGAATTCCAGGGGTGGAAGAGCAGCTCATGGATGGCTTTAGGCTTTTCCTGTGTTTTAGTTCTGAAATCCTTAGCCTCTAGGCCTTTGTCCTCAAGTTTATTGTATCATGGATGCCAGATGACTGCTCAGGCCCCAGGCTCACATTCTTGTTGCAGGTGGGAATCCGAGGGAAGGAGCGGGAGTCTTCTTTTAATGAGGTTTTGCCTTTTGGCTCTGGAAGAAAAACCAGGAACTTGCATCTTTATCTCAGTTGTTGGAATTGTTATTGTATGGGCACCTGGGCCAGTGAGGGAAGCTGGCAAATCCAGTATTTTAGCTACTGTCCTTTATAAGAGAGGAAGGCAAAAGAGGGGGTTATGACTGGCTTTTGAGAGGCTAATGCAGTCTGCCCGAATGTGTATGAAAAACGGAGTCTCTGAAGATAGGCTTGAAGGACACAGAACTATTGATTTGCAAAGGCAGAAATTTAGGTTAAAAAACTTGTGATTCAAAATCCTATTCTTGGTGATTTCCTGGTGGTCCAGTGGCTAAGACTCTGTGCTTCCAATGCAGGGGGCCTGGGTTCGATTCCTGGTCAGGGAACTATATCCCCTGTGCCACAACTAAGACCCCATGCAGCCAAATAAATAAATATATATATTAAAAACCTATTCTTAAAAAAAAAAATCCTGTTATTCCTACTGAGTCTAAATATGCAGCAGAGTCTGGCCTGGTCTCCTGCAGGGCAACCTAGCTGCCACCTGGAGCTGGGCCTGGGACTTGGGTCAACACAGTTTATGGGCTGAGAGTGATGCCCTGTCTACCATCTCTCATTCATTGTGGACAGTGCCCCACATTGGGGATGCCCTGTGAAGAGACAGGCATGGTCCTGCCCCCAGGAACTCACACAGAGGAAGGGGACTCCAAGAGTGTCGAGGGTGAGCAGCCTAAGGAAAGAGGAGCGTAACAGGCAGGGTGACAAGTTAAGGGGGGCTCAGCTGTGCCTGTGTGGAAGCTGAAGTGCAGAGAGAGGCAGAAACTGCCCAAGGCTACAGAGCATGAGAGCCAAACCGGAGCAGCACCAGGCACTGCGGACTTCCAGCACTCATGCGTCTCCCTATTTTTGGATCCATGGGCAGAGCTTCCGGATGTGGCCAGAGAGCTCTGTGCATGTGTGTGTGCTAAGTCGCTTCAGTCGTGTCTGACTCTGTGACCCTATGGGCTATAGCCCATCAGCCTCCTCTGTCCGTGGAGACTCTCCAGGCAAGAATACTGAAGTGGGTTGCCATGCCTTCCTCCAGGGGATTTTCCCAACCCAGGGATCAAACCTGCATCTCTTACATCTCCTGCATTGGCAGGAGGGTTCTTTACTACTAGCACTACCTGGGAAGCCCAGAGAGCTCCGTAGTAATGGTCATATTAGTGATAACTGCCTTGACCACAAGTGACAGAAAAAATACTGACAGCTGTTTCTCACCTAAGGAAGTGGAGAGGTGGGCAGTCTGGGACATGTAGGCAGATCCAGGCTCCTGTATCTTGTTTCTCCAACATCTTAGCATTGACTTACCACTCATAGTCCAAGATACTTCTTGAGCTTCAGGCAAAATTTCCATGCTCCAGTCGGCTTGCTGTTCAGTTGCTTAGTGGTGTCAAACTCTTTACAACCCCATGGACTGCAGCACGCCAGGTTTTCCTGTCCTTCACTATCTCCCAGAGTTTGCTCAAACTCATGTCCATTGAGTTGGTGATGCCGTCCAACCATCTCGTCCTCTGTCATCTGCTTCTCCTCCTGCCTTCAATCTTTCTGAGCATCAGGGTCTTTTCCAATGAGTCAGCTCTTCATATCAGGTGGCCAGAGTACTGGAGCTTCAGCCTTAGCATCAATCCTTCCAATGAATATTCAAGGTTGATTTCCTTTAGGATTGACCGGTTTGATCTCTTTGCAGTCCGAGGGACTCTCAAGAGTCTTCTCCAGCACCACAGTTCAAAAGCATCTATTCTTTAGCGTTCAGCCTTCTTTATGGTCTAACTCTTACACCTGTACATGACTATCGGAAAACTATAACTTTGATTATACAGACCTTTGTCAGGAAAGTGATGTCTCTGCTTTTTAATATGCTGTCTAGGTTCATCATAGCTTTTCTACCAAGGAACAAGCACCTACCTGTCTTTTAACAAGAACCTGGCTACAGTCACTGTCCACAGTGATTCTGGAGCCCAAGAAATAAAGTCTGTCACTGTTTCCATTTTTCCCAGTCTATTTGCCATGAAATGATGGGACTGCATGCCATGATCTCAGTTTTTTGAATGTTGAGTTTTAAGCCAGCTTTTTCACTTTCCTCTTTCTCCTTCATCAAGAGGCTCTTTAATTCCTCCTTGCTTTCTGCCATTAGGGTGGTGTCATCTGTATATCTGAGGTTGTTGATATTTCTCCCAGCAAGCTTGATTTCTGCTTGTGATTTATCCAGCCTAGTATTTTGCATCATGTACTCTGCATTTAAGTTAAATAAGCAGAGTGACAATATGCAACCTTGACATACTCCTTTCCCAATTTTGAGCCAGTCCATTGTTCCATGTATGGTTCTAACTGTTGCTTCTTGACCTGCATACAGATTTCTAAGGAGGCAGGTCAGGTGGTCTGGTATTCCCATCTCTTTAAGAATTTTCCAGTTTGTTGTGATTCACACAGTCAAAGGCTTTAGCATAGGCAATGAAGCAGAAGTTTTTCTGGAATTTTCTTTTTCTATGCTCTAGCAGATGTTGGCAATTTGATCACTGGTTCTTCTAATTTTCTAATCCAACTTGTACATCTGGAAGTTCTTGGTTCACATACCATTGAAGCCTAGCTTGAAGGATTTTGAGCATTACCTTGCTAGCTTGTGAAATGACCACAATTATGTGGTAGTTTGAACATTCTTTGGCATTGCCCTTCTTTGGAATTGGAATGAAAACTGACCTTTTCCAGTCCTCTGGTCATTGCTGCATTTTCTAAATTTGCTGACATACTGAGTGCAGCACTTTAATAGCATCATCTTTTAGGATTTGAAATAGCTCAGCTGGAATTCCATTACCTCCATTAGGTTTGTTCATAGTAATGCTTCCTAAGGCCTACTTGACTATACTCCAGGATGTCTAGCTCTAAGTAAGTGACCACACCATCATGGTTATCCAAGTCATTAAAACCTTTTTTGTACAGTTTGTGTATTCTTGCCACCTCTTCATAATCTCTTCTGCTTCTGTTAGATCCTTGCTGTTTCTGTCCTTTATTGTGCCCATCTTCACATGAAATATTCCCTTGCTATCTCTTAATTTTCTTGAAGATATTTCTAGTCCCATTCTATTGTTTTCCTCTATTTCTTTGCATTGTTCACTTAAGAAGGCTTTCTTATCTCTTCCTGCTAATCTTTGGAACTCTGCATTCAGTTGGGTATATTTTTCTCCTTTGCCTTTTGTTTCTCTTCTTTTCTCAGCAAGAAATTGGAAAAGGAAGAAGGAGTGGAAGGTTCTTAGGAGCCATCTTTAGATGAGTTCACTTCAGTCGCTCAGTCGTGTCCAACTCTTTTCGACCCCATAGACTACAGCATGCCAGTGAAGGACAAGGAACTGTCCTTCAACTCCTGGAGCTTGCTCAAACCCATGTCCATCGAGTCGGTGATGCCATCCAACCATCTCATTCTCTGCTGTCCCTTTCTCTTCCTGCCCTCAATCTTTTCCAGCATCAGGGTCTTTTCCAATGAGTCAGTTCTTCACATCAGGTCACCAAAGTACTGGAGTTTCAGCTTTGGCATCAGTCCTTCCAATGAATATTCAGAACTGATTTCCTTTTGGATTGGGCTATGGGTGCCATCCAACCCTTCTGCTTCCATCCCATAGCCCAGAACTCAGTCACATGACATTACTGAGCTGCAAGGGAGGCTGGCTGGGAAATATAGTCTGGTACAGGTGTGTGCCCAGCAAAAAGTGAGGATTCCATCAGTAGACTGGAAGGGAAGAAAGGATGTTATCACAGCTTTGTGTTGTGGGTCATTTTCTATGTGTGGGCATCCAGTTTGACAATTATAGTATGAAGTCAGTTTGATTATTCTCATCTTACAGATGAGGAAATTTTGCCCAAGATTACAGTCATTTCCCCACCAGCCTAATTGATACCGTGTTGGACTGTTCTATCAGAATGGGCTGGCACCCAGGACCTTTCATTTTTAAATTTTATTTATGTATTTATTTTTGGCTGCACTAAGTCTTCCATTGCTGTGCAGGGTTTTCTCTATTTGCAGCAAGTGGGGGCTACTCTCTAGTTGTGGTGTATGAGCTTCTTATCGAGGTGGCTTTTCTTGTTGCGGAACACAGGCTCACTAGTTGTGGCACACAGGCTTAGGTGGCCCATGGCATGCGGGATCTTCCCTGACCGGGGATTGAACCAGTGTCCCCTGCGTTGGCAGGCAGACTCTTAACCACTGGACCACCAGGGAAGTCCCCCCAGGACCTTTCTTAAGCTGGCATCTGGATTTGCTTCCCACACATCCTTATGTTCTGTTCACTGACAGCCCCGCCTGCATTACATCGCACTCTCGCCCTGCCCCAGTTCTAGGTGGACAAAGTTATTGCCCAGGCTGCAGCTACAGAGGCAAGGCTGACGGAGCCTGACTAGCTCCTGGGTCCTAGAGTATGCCCAGAGTGAGATGGTGAGCCCTGCTCCTGCCGCAGCCCAGTGGTTCCACATGTGGCCCAGGGGCACTCAGCTTCCCCTCTTGCAGGGGCTGCAGGGGCTGACAGATCACACCCTCCAGCGGGGTCGGTGGTGGGGTGTGTGCGGGGGGGATGGGCAGGAACCTAACTGTCCCAGTTTACCAAGGGCTTCAGGCTCTTAGAGCTCAGAGCATGGGGAAACACAGGACCATCTGGTTGATTCAGCAGACTTGGAGGGGAGCTCTGGGGGATGGGATGGACACTTTAGAGGGGACATGTCCTAGTCTGGGGACCCTCTGGAATACTGTTGTCAAGCCTTACCACTCACCACCAGCCCCCGTCACTCTGGTGCTTCACCGACACAGGCAGCTCCATCTTGCCAGTACAATGTTACCTTCACCGCAGGGCCTTTGCATGGGCTGTACTCTGCTGGAAATACCCTTTAGCACTCTCTTTACCTCATTCCTTCTCATCTGGGATTCAAATAACACTTCCTCAGGGGCACTTTCCCTGATACCCACCCTCCCACCTGGCTAGGCTCCGCACTGTTTGCTTACTATCCTCCAATCTTTTTGTCCCATCTCTTCTCCAGTGTGAAATTCATGGGCCGGGACCAGGGCTCTTTTGCTCATGTGTAATGCTGTACCTCATATATAGGAAGGGCTTCCCTGGTGGCTCAGTTGGTAAAGAGTCTGCCTGCAATGCTTGAGACCTGGGTTTGATCCCTGGGTCAGGAAGATTCCCTGGAGGAGGGCATGACAACTCATTCCAGTATTCTTGCCTGGAGAATTCTATGGACAGAGGAGCCTGGTGGGCTACAGTCCATGGGGTTGCAAAGAGTAGGACGTGACTGAGCGACTAACACACTAACACATGTATCGACAGTGGTCACTTAATACTTGAAGGAGTGAATGCAAGTGGCCTCTAAGCTGAACTTAATCATTAGGAGGCATTAGCTTGGACAAGGGTCAGGAGAGAATGCTCCAAGCAGAGGGAACAGCTTGTGTCACAAGGCAACAAACACCCGGGGAGGGTGTGAGACAAGGTGGAATTCAGGGCAGGGCCATGTTAGGGGTTCTGGAGCTGGGGACTGCTGAGGTCAGATGTGCCTCAGTGTGCTTCCCCTGGGGCAGAGGGAGACAACTGGAGGAGGGGAACGGAACCGCTAGGCCTGGGTTAGGGTGATGGGACGGCAGGGGCAGACAGATGTAGGAAGCTTTGGGCATAAGGTAGACACGGAGAACTGGCTCAGAGACCTGCCTCCCTGCCCGCACGCCCACTGGGCCCAGCTCTGGGCTCCCCATGCTCCTCCCGAGACCCTGTCCTGTTGACCCACAGCCAAGTTCCTTCCCCCAGCCCTTGTCTTCTCCTTGCAAAGAGGCAACACCAGGCAGTGGGAAGAGCCAACTTTGGAGTGAGCCAGACTTGGGTTTGAAACACATTTCCGTCATCTATTGACTGTGTGATCTGGGACAGATGACTTTCTCTGGACCTTGCTAAAATGGGAGTGGCAGTAACTTCCTGGCCAGGCTGGTTGTGAGGTATATGTGAGAAATGACAGATTTTTTTTTTGGACTGTGCCACACACCTTGTGGCATTTTAGTTGCCCAGCCACGGGTTGAACCTGCACCTTCAGCAGTAGGAGCAGTGAATCCGAACAACTGGACCACTAGGGAATTCCCTCGACAGTTTCTGTAGTGGGCACGCACAGGCCAGCTGAGAGCTAGGTGCTGCCCATACTTACGTCTTGCTTTGTCCACACTGTTTCTTTCCTTGTTATTATTTTTTTAATAGTTTCTATTTAAAACTTACTTGTTTGTTTTTGGCTGCTCTGGGTCTTCGCTGCTGCGCGCAGGCTTCCTCTAGTTGCAGTGAGTGGGGCTGCTCTCTGGCTGTGGTGCACAGGCTTCTTGCTGCGGTTCTCCTGTGGTGGCACACGGGCTCTAGGGCACGCAGGCTTCAGTGCTGGCAGCTTGAGGGCTCAGTAGTTGTGGCGCACAGTCTTGGTTGTCCCTCGGCATATGGGATCTTCCTGGTCCAGGGTTCGAACTTGTATCCTCTGCATTGGCAGGCAGACTCCTAACCAGACCATGAGAGAAGCTTCTGTCTCATTTTTAAAGTAATAGCCAATATTGAAAAATTGGATTTGACTCTAACACCTGGATTTCAACCGGAGCCTTGTAGGCATTCCTGAATGAAGCGGTCAGCACCGCCCCTGCACACGGAACACGTGCTCTCCCATGACACAGTCCCACCTTGCCCCCCTGTGTATGCCAGCTAGCCTCGGCAGGCACTGGGTCTGCTACCCCTGGCCTCAGATGTGGGACCATCCTTATGGCAACCCAGCAAAGCTGGGATCAGGCTCCCAGTTCAGCAGTGAAGGAGCCAAGGGTCATGAGGAGGTAAAGCTGTTGGGCAAGCCACCCAGCTAAGATGTGGCTGAACCCACGATCTGACATCCCCTGGGGCTCCACACTGCCTTCTGCCTGCCCCAGGAGTGAGTGCCGCTCACCCGGCTGGCCCCAGGGAGAGCTCAGCCCACCTGTGGCCTCTGCTCTGTCAGGCCTCCAGTAGAGCAAGTTAACTTAGCTCACAAGCACTCATGATGCCTACCCATGGGCCAGGCACTGTTGGGATATACCAGCTAGCAGAAACGTTAATAGTTCATGCCCTCCGGGACCTCATACTAGATCGGGAAGAAGGCGGTGGGGAGCAGACAATAAGCAAGAGACATAAGAGGTAAATTACCTGGTGGTATGCTAGTATGGGGGGCTTCCCCAGTGGCTCAGATGGTAAAGAATCCGCCTGCAATGCAGAGACCCAGGTTTGCATGGGTCAGGAAGATCACCTGGAGAAGGGAATGGCAACCCACTCCAGTATCCCTGCCTGGAGAATTCCATGGACAGAGGAGCCTGGCGGGCTACAGTCCACAGGGTGGCAAAGAGTCAGACATGACTGAGTGGCTAACACACACACACACGTTAGTATGGGAAGAAAGTACAGAGTTCAAGCTATTGGAAGCATGACTTTGGGAAGCGGGGTTGGCATATGAGCTGATCGTGTCAGCGTGGGCCTCAAGGGGAAGGTGATCTTTGGGCAGAATCTTGAAGGGGATGAGGGCTGAGCCTAACACATATCTGGGCCAAGCAGTCCAGGTAGAGGGGGCAGCTGGTAGGAAGCCCTACGATGGTGTGCCCGGTGCATCAGCCATGGACAAGAGGTCACATGGGGAGAGCAGAGGGACGGAAGCCAGTCTTGCTGGCCTCTGGGCCTTTCCCCGGGCTTTGCCCTTTGCTCAGAGCAATGTGGACCAGGCAGGGATTCAAGCAGAGGAGAAGCTGGCCGAGCACAGGTTGATATCAGGCTGTCAGGGGCAGAGGAAGGAGCACAGAAGCCAGTTTTGTGCACTTATCCAGGTCAGAGGTGCCCAAGGCTCACATTCCACATCAGGGAGGCTGTGAGAAGTGGCCAGTATCTGGATGCATCTTGAAGGAGAGCCTGGCCGGATTTCGGAGTGGATCTGAAATAAGGGACAAAACAAGGAATTTGTCCCATGCAGACGGAGTCACCATCCACTGAGACAGAGATGCTGTGGGAATGTGCAAGGCCTAGCCTGTGGAGATTGGGAGCAGAACTTCAGACGTAGCAAGTGAACAGCCACCAGGCTTCTCTGGTAGCTCAATTGGCAAAGAATCCTCCTGCAATGCAGGAGATCCCAGTTTGATTCCTGGGTTGGGAAGATCACCTGGAGAAGAGAGAGGCTGCCCACTCCAGTATTCATGGGCTTCCCTGGTGGCTCAGATGGTAAAGAATCCTCCTGCAATGAGGGAGACCTAGGTTCGATCCCTGGGTTGGGACGATCCCCTGGAGGAGGGCGTGGCAACCCACTCCAGTGTTCTTGCCTGGAGAATCCCCATGGACAGAGGAGCCTGGCAGGCTACAGTCCATGGGGTTGCAAAGAGTCGGACATGATTAAGCACAGCACAGCACAGTGGATGCCTTGGGATTGGAGAGAGAAAGTGGGAGCAGTGGGTGTGCAGATAAAACATTTATCTGGAAAGAAAGAGGGCCCCAGCAGGCCTGCCTATGTCCTGGACTCTGGAGGGAAGGGTGCCAAGTTACCAAGTGACTGTTGCTTCCTCTTAGGAGATCATGCATGCCCTGAAGATGACCTGGCACGTGCAGTGCTTCACCTGCGCGGCCTGCAAGACACCCATTCGGAACAGGGCCTTCTATATGGAGGAAGGGGCTCCCTACTGCGAGCGAGGTATGGGCTGGGACAGGTGAGAAGGCGGTGCTGGGTGAGGGGGCAGGGTGTGGGCAGGAGAACCCAAGTCCCCCCCACCCCCCCCGCCCCACTTTTCTTCTCTCTGTGTCTCCAGACTATGAGAAGATGTTTGGCACAAAATGCCGAGGCTGTGACTTCAAGATTGATGCTGGGGACCGCTTCCTGGAGGCGCTGGGCTTCAGCTGGCATGATACGTGCTTCGTGTGCGCAGTGAGTGCCCCTCTTTGGACTCAGGCCCTGTCCCCAGAGCCTCGTGTTCTTCTCCTGCCTCCCTCCCACCCCTGCCTCTGGGATTCCTAAGAGGTTGGGAAGGGCCCTCTCCTGCTTCCCCCACCCCTCATAACTGCACCTTGGCCCTTCCCAGATATGTCAGATCAACCTGGAAGGAAAGACTTTCTACTCCAAGAAGGACAAGCCCCTTTGCAAGAGCCACGCCTTCTCCCATGTGTGAGCCCCTCCCACTCATTGCTGCCCACCCCAGCCTACCCAACCCGAGGGGTTTGCTGATTCTGGAACCATCGCCCCAGATTTCTGGGTAGGGCTAGCAAAAGTTGCCCCGACCCCAACTCCTGGCCTGAGCCTGGGGTCCCCTGGGCCCCACCCCCATCACCTCCCTCCACTCCCTCCACCACCCCCGCACACTGGTGCTGGCCACACCGGCCCCTGCTCACGTCCAGTGCTATAATAAATCTGTCTCCAGCTGCATCTGGTGTGTGCCTCCCCCTGTGCATCAAGAAAGGTGGGATCTGAGGCCTGTAGCAGGGTGGAGATTAAATTCTCCAGGGCTGACCGTCCTGGTGGTCCCATGATGGGGACAGGGAGGACTCATGGTTAGCAGGAGAAGGCAAAGGGGAATCTCACGTGCTGGTCCCAGGACCCACAGAATTTGGGGGTGCCTGGTCTGGCTTGGCTTGGCAGTCAAAGAAGAGGAGTTGGAGGGGCATCCTCAGGGGTGTAACGTGGAAAATGGTACACCCAAGTGAGGGTCCAGAGGGGCTGCTGCCATCGTATGCTGCGGCAAAGAAAGGGGGCTGGAGAAGGCAGCCTCCCAGTTCTGGAAATGCCAGGATAAGGAGCTGGGACTGCTTCCTGAGGGCACAGTGGGGAGAGCCAGGCAAGAATGTTCAGATCTGTGTTGTAGAAAGAGCGGCTGGGAGCCATGAGCAGAAGGAGGGAGCCTGGGAGGAGGGGCAGGGCTCTGGGGAAGGAAGGCGCAACAAGCCACATGGCAGCGACTGGTCCAGGCCTGGAGCAGAGACATGGGGGATGAGAGGTGAGAAGAGGAAGGACGGCACTGGAGTATACCAGTCATTCTTCCCGTTGTCTCATGCAGCAACCCTGTGGGATGTCTGCACGTAGTCTCATCTTATAGATGAAAGCTTAGGAGACCTGATCAGAGCTGCACTGCCCCTGAGCACACGAGCCAGGCCTGAAGCTGGGCACACCGTCCTGAGACTGGCTGGCGCTGAGCACCACGCTCCTGAGATGCCCCTGCAGAGCTCGCCTCTGCCTGCTGCCTCCAAAGCTGGAGGCTCTGGCGGTGGCCCCATCTTTCCCCGGGGCCTCCTGCGTCCCACTGGTGCCCTCCACTACTCCAAGGGGACTGTCATCCCTCCTACTCCAGGCCTGAACTGGAGGGGGACTCAGGAGAGGCCCCAAACTAGACCAGGAGAACATGGTGCGCCCATAGCCACCTGTCCTCCAGGGCTTGCTGGCATGAGGAACTTTATAGCACATCTGAAGTTGTTGGCGTTCTTGGCAGGTACCCAGGCCTGTTCCCTTTAAGAGAAGAGCAGGGCCTCTGTGCTGTGTCTTCTCAAGGAACCCTGGAGCAGGAGTGCAGGACTCTGCGTGTCACTTTCATGATATCTTACCAGCATCTAAAACGGTGCCTAGAACACAGTGGATGCCCAATGAATGTTGAATGACTGAATGAGGTGCCTACAAGACATTTAGGAGACAAATCCAGGAAGCAGCTGAAGATTCAAGTCTAGATACACCTTGGATTAAATTTGGGAGTGAGTTCAGGGCAGTTATCGCAGATATTTAACCATTATCGCAGATATTTAACCATTATCACAGATGCTCAGAGAGGGGCCCCAGCAGGTCACATGAGGAGTAAAGCAGGTAGGATGTGGTTTTCTTTCAACATTCCTAGCATATTCAGTGAAGAGTATCTCACTTCCACAAGCAAGTGTACACTCTCTCCCTTTTCTCTTGAACCATGAAGACCTCCCAGTCCATCCTTGGTTTCCATGGATACAAGCCAGCAAGAGCACAGGGGCGGATGGTTAAGTGCTGGTTTGTGGGGAGCCTTCTGGGGGCATCCGTGTGGGAATGCTGAACTGGGGCCAGACCTGCCAGTTTACCAACAACATCCAGAGATCGACACTTTTATGTGAAATTTGGTTTTTCAATGTTGGCAACTAAGAGATTTTTTAAAATCTTATTTAAATACATAATGTGGACCAAATCCAGTGTGATGATGGCTGGGCCCCAGCCTAGAGAAGATAGGAGAGATGGGGAAGCAGCAACATCACAGGGCAGGGCAGAGAAAGCAGAAGGATCTGCCAGAAGTGAAGGACCACAGCCTCTGGAGGGAGGGAGTTTGGGGCAGGGAAGCCTGGGTGGGCAGGAGTGTTTCTAGAAGTGTCAGCCAGGCAGATAAGGCCAAGGAGTCCCCATGGCATTTTGCAACAAGGTGACGTTTGCCATATCAGTTTTGCTGAGAGCTGGGGCCAGTGCCAAGATTGGAGGAAGAAGGGGAGGGTGTAGAGAGTGAGTCGACGAGAGAGTGTGGACAGCTGTCTTAAAGGGCTTCACTGTGGTGGGCCCTGAGGACCTCTAGCAGCTGTGGTCAGCTGAACTGCCAGGAGGGGTGAAGGAGGCAGCTTGAAGGCCCCTGCCAAGGGGAGGTGGTTGAAGAAGCTGGAGGGCAGATGTAAGGGGAGAGTAAAGGGGAGAGCAGGGAGCTGGGGACTGAAGCTCAGGAAAGCGGAGCTTTTTAGATGGAAGTCAAGCATGGGGCACTTGCTCTGAACAGCTACCTCTCTGCTGGAAGCACAGAGCAATCACTTCGATGTCATTTAATCATTAAAACATGCTTAAAAGAGATGTCATTAAAGGCACGTTTCAGAGGGACCTGAAGCTCAGAAAGGGGAAGTGACCTCTCCGGAGCCACCCAGCGGCCCAGGTCCAGTCCATGCTTCCCAGATTAAAGGCGGAACTGCTTCCCACTGCACCTCCCAGCTCCCCACCCCTCTCTAGCACCGAGCTGCAGGGATCACTGTGTTCTCAAGTTTCAGGTGCAAGGCTATACAGGTGGAGGCCAAGGGTACTGGGAAATGTCTTTGTACCAGGCACGGGAGGCCATTAGCGCCCCGGGAGTGTGCAGTCCCCCCAGCCGAGGGGGCAGAGCCCTTGGCAGGGGGCTGAGTGGGCAACTGGAGAGACAGCAGGCCAGGGAGGGGCTTTTTCCAGTTCTGAGCAGCTTGCACTCATTTGAAATCAGCAGGGAGACAGGCAGTGGAGAACAGGGTACACAGGCAAGGACTGATGATTCTCGATTCCGGTGCAGCTTCTCTGTGCTGGGCCCCACGTGGGCCTTGGAACACTCACGGTACACAGGGTCCTGCTACAGGAAGGGAGCTGAGGCCAGGGACTACGGGGCCTAGCCCCATGGCACACACATGGAGCAGCCACGGAGGCTGGGATTTGAGCCTGAGTTGGCCTGAATCCAAAGCCAAACCTGAAACTGGAGGAAGAGTTCCTCCCCAGCTAGGACCTAAAGTGGGGCAAGGAAGGGGGTTCCGGGGGCTACTGGTGGGGCAAGAGGCAGCTTTCTGGGAACCTGCAGAGAACTCAGGAGGCTGGGACCAGCCCTGAATAGCCAAGGAAGGTCCCAGGACCAGCCTAAGTTCTCCCACTCAGGACCTGGGGGCACTAGAAAGTCAACTTTGTTTTCATCCTTGTCTCTTGACACTAACAAAAATGACTATTACTTGGAGACTGGGTCAACTAGGAAGGACTCTCAGCTGCAATTCAAACTAGTCTAAGCAAAAAACGAGGATAATTTGTCTCATTTAACTGAAATGGTCAATGGCTTCAGACACAGCAGGATCCAGTACCCATGGATGTCAGGATGTTTTCAGGAGTCTGATTCCCCGCCTTCCGCCTTTTCTCAGTTCTGACTTTAGTCTCAGGCAACTCATCCCATTATCAGCCAAAATGCCCCTCAACCAGCTCTAGGCCCACATCCTGCCAGCTCAGCAGCCCATCAGAGACTATTAATGGTTCCAGCAAGAAGTCCCAGGGCTGATACCCATTGGACTTAATGGGATCATGTGTCCACTTCTGAAGCAGCCACTGGTTCTGACCCACTGGCCTGAATCACATGCTGTTCTCTGGAGCCTGCATTGGAAAATCAACTGGAAGACGGGCAGGGATGGCTGACCATGGATGTCCACTGCACTGGGCAGACATCTCACTCTCCACACTCAGGATCCCTGCCCCCCAGACTCCTTCCCTTGGCCCCACAACTGTAGCCTCAGGAACTACTTCTGACCAAATTCCAGGCCAGGTTAGCCCCTACATGTAGAAATAGGGGTACTAGAAGGAGAAGCAGGGAGAGTGTGTGCTATGCTGAAAGGATGCAGGACAGACAGGTTTCTATACGGACTTTGCCACTCTGTGCCTTACAGGGCGAGTCACTGCCCCTCTTTGAGCCTCGGTTCTCCCATTTGTGAAATAGAAATGATAGCCAACATGTCAATAGCACCTACTATGTGCAGCTGCTGTTTTAAATGCTTTCTACTTTCTTAAATCCTCAGCAAACCCTATGATGTGGATACCATCAGTATCATCCCCATTTTACAGCTAGACAAGAAAGGTCAAGCAGAAGAGTCTACAGTCACACTGTAGCAAGGTCTGTGCAACTCAGGAGCAGAGCTAAGTGGTGAAAGTGGCTGGGCCCATGCCAGGGGCAAGATCTGAAAAGTGATGGGAGCATTGTAATGATTAGGGCGAAACTTCTGAAGGTATGCTTGGTAGGAACCTGCAAGAGACAGGGTGAGGGCAGAGAAAGCTCCAGGCGCTGAAAAAGTCCTGAAACCTACGTGTCAGCCTTGAAGCCTTATCTGAGAGGTGTGGGGGAGCAACGAGCAGGAAGGTGGGCGTGGGAGGGTGGGGCTGCAAGGAGGAAGGGGAAGGGGTTTTTACTTTCTAAGCCTTCACCCTGTCACATTTTATCCTCACAACGTGTTATCAAAGAGGAAACTTAGGGAAAGGATTTTACTCAAGGTCACAAAGCAAGTGACCAGCCTAGGGACATGAATCCTCCTTTCTTAGCTTTTCCACTCTGGGGACTGAGGAGCCATTGGACAAGCCTCCCAATGCTGGAGGGGGCAGGGGGAGCAGCTGGGAGAGGGGACAAGCTCAGGATCTTGGGGAGGGAGAGACTTGGAGGGTGATCAGTGCTGGGAGTGGTAGACATAAAAGCCTGGTGGGAGAGCCTCCAAGGAGGCACCCAGCATCCACCCACCATGGCTGAGCATGTGGGTTTCAGGGCTTTGCAGAGGAGGGAGTGATCATTAGTCACCCTGTTCCCACTGGTTGAGGAAACTGAGGACTACAACGGGGCCACCTAATTTGGCAATTTAGGGGTCCCTGGTGACCTCAGCCAGAGAAGTGCCAGAGACCATGTGGGAAGGAGGCAGAGTACAGATAAATTATAGGATTATTATAGGATGATGATGATGTGAAGGGGTGAAGGGTGGGCTCCAGGGACTATGAGCAGGGAACCTCCCTGCTCCTCTGAAAACAGAGAAAACTGGGCATGGGGCATATGGGGACTCTCTGCACTATCTTTGTAATTTTTCTGTGAATTTCAAGCTGTTCTAAAATTAAAAGTTTATTTAAAAATATAGATGGCAAAGAGGTAAGAGTGGGTGTGGCTAGAATTTGTAGGTGGCTGGGGGAGGCAGGAATTTGAGAAAGAGAGCCCGCAGGTGCAGGTAGGGCTTCTGTGTTTTGGATGTGAAACTGAGCAGGAGGCTGGGGAGGGGGCTTTGGGATGGGGAAGTGAAAGCTGGGAAAAGTCAAAGGAAGCAGGAAGGGACTGAGGCCTGAGATCCCTCGACCTACCTTTCCCAGGCACCCCTCAGCCCTACTATAGGGTCTTCCTCTCTCCCTAGAATCCCACGGACTCTGCTTGGGACTTGCCCCAAGTGGGGGCCCTGGAGAAACTGACAGGGCCAGGGGTTCAGGGGTATAGTGCTGAGAATTCCCCAGGTGGGGGCCTGTGGAATCTTTTGAGTTTTAAGGAGTTCTTCATACTCTATAAAGTGCTGGGGTCCACTGCTGGAGATCAATGTGCATACTTCTTTCCTCTTCTTGGTCCAGCTGGTTGGTTACCCAGCTCAGAATTTGGAGGCCCAGCCCCACCACCTCCCAGATTGGACCAGAAAAAGTTTGCTCAGGTTCTGCCACCTCCTCTGGGAAGACAGGGGTGGGAGGCTTTGCAGGTGGTGGTCAAGGCTTCTGAGAGCTGCAGAGGGTTTCAGGAGCCCAGCTTAGGAGCACAGTTGCTCCAGGAGGGCCTGGCAGTGGTGCACACTTCTCTGCAAGAGACTCCTCTGAGGAGTTTTCTGTGTTCAGAGCTCTGGGAACTAAAGGTGCCAGGGGACTGGCCCTAGAGAGCCCTTGGAGAAGCCCTGCCCTGGGAGTCTGGGGTTAAATGCTGCTTCCGGAACTCTACTCGGGATTCCTCTAGGAGACCCGAGGCTTGGGAGAGAAGGCAAAGGCTTTCCTAGGCTGGCCTCACTGGAGAAGGCTCAGGGGGCAGCTGGTGGGGGAGGGGTGCTCAGTATAGAGCGGGGCGGAGATGAGTTAGAGGTTGGGAATGTCGGAGTAGGAAGCCGAGAATGGTCTAGGAGGCAGGGCTGGAGGAGTGTGGTTGGAATAAAGATCAGAATAAGAACAGCATAGGCTGGAATAAGGAAGGTGCAGCTAGGGATGGGGTCTGACGAATGGGTAGGGGTTTGCGCCAAGCAAACGGTTGGGAGTGGGGCTGGTACTGGGAGGGGAAAGAAATGAGCACGGGCTACAGACGGGCCAGGGGTTGGGGATGGAGGGTGGGATGGAGCAGGGATGGGGGTGAGGCTGGGGTGGAGGGAGATAAATGAAGGACAGAGTGGCGCTGGGCCGGATTGGAATGGAATGGATTTGCGATTGGGGCAGGGAGTTGGGAAGAAGACGGCTGAAGTTGGGCCTGGATAGGGCTTGGTGAGGTGGGGATGGGGAGAGGGGGATCAAGGCGGGGGGCGGGAACGGAGGCCCTAAGGTTTGTGGCTGGGGACGCCACAGGGGAGAACTGGGACGTGGGAAGAACGGCCCCTGGGTGCGGAGAGGTAGACCCGCCTGGGCGCGGGGCGCAGGGGCTGGGGGCGAGGGGCGTGAGGGCGCCCCGGGGCAGGCCGGGAAGGGGGGGGCGGGCCTCCCCCTGGGCCGGGCCGGGGCGGCGCTAGGACCGAGCGCGCGGAGGGAGCGAGCCGGGCGGAGCCAGCGCCCCCCGCCCCCCGCCGGCCGGCTCCCCTCCCCCGGCCGCTGGCTCGCTCGGCTCGCAACGCTGCAGAGGCTCTGAGGCGGCGGCGCGGCGACTCCGTCTTTCCCTCCCTCCTTCTCCGTCCGTCCGTCCGTGCGTCTGTCCGTTCGGCCTCGGTCCGGCCCGCAGCATGGCCGGCGTGAGCTTCAGTGGCCACCGCCTGGAGCTGCTGGCGGCGTACGAAGAGGTGATTCGGGAGGAGAGCGCGGCCGACTGGTGAGCCCCCCGCCCCCGCCCCTCAGCCCCTTTGTCCCCGCGCCGCCGCCGCCGCCGCCGAGCCTTTGTTTCCACCCGGCCCCGCCGCCCCGTAGCCGGGAGGGAGGAGGAGACCCCGAAATGCTGCAGCGGCCCGGGAGAGCCAGGGAGGAGCTGCCTTTGTGCGCGCCGGGGGAGGGGCCGGGCCGGGCCAGGCGGGGCACCCGCGGTCCCCGAGCACCCGGAGGCGGCCCCAGCTGCGCGGTGGGAACGCTGGTGGCTGGACGCAGGCTGGAGAGACGCAGGGTCCAGATACGTGGCCTGGGGCTTCCTGGCCTTGCAGAACTCCTCCACCCCCTCCTCCGCCTTGGGCCCCGGTGGGGGGGACAGGTGTGCACCGGGAGGCCAAGGGCACCTTCTACACCTTCGAGCGGGCGGGGACCGAACCGGCAGAGCCAGAGCTGTCTACCCGGCCCAGCCCAGCCCAGCCGGCCGCCGCACAAAGGAAAAGCTAGGGCGGGGGAGGAGCGGCGCGGAGCGGGCTGGGGGCCGGTGCGCCCCGCCCACCGGGGGGCCTCTCGGAGTTGGGGTGTGATGAATAGACGTTCGCTGCCACACGGCCACCGCCACCGAGTGCCTCCTGTTCCCCTCAGGGGTCGAGGAGGCAGGGCTCAGGCTTCTCCCCGAGGCGAAGAGGGTTGCAGGGACTAGGCACCCAGGCTGGGAAGTGCCAAAGGAACTAAACTGCCTGCCTAGGGTGCCAAGTGGGGTCCCCGGGAGGGAGCCCCCAGGCGGACCATTGTGGAGAGAGTGGAGGGAGTTTTCTGAGAGGAATGAGGGGGTGAGGAGATCCACGGAGCCCCTGGCCTGGTGGCCCAGTGGCAAGGGGCTCTCAGCTACCGCGGGGATGGGGAGGAGCTGGGCTGCCCTCTCTCCCCTCCCCAGCTGTTGTCTCCCCCTAGGAGGTGGGTGGGGACAGACCACCTGCTCTGGGGCTAGAGTCCCCAGAGTGGCAGAAAAGCCAAGGGGTTCCACACTGCCCCATTCAGGAACCATCATCTCCCCAAAATATTCTTCTTCTGGGGCAAGTGCCCATTCTCTTCCCTAGGCCTTTTCTCCCCTTGGCAAGCAGGAAATACAAAGTGATGTAAGATCTGAGGGGCCACACTTGGGCTGGCTTTACCCTCGTGCTGGGAAGATACTGACCTGGGGGCTGGAGGAGGGGACAAGATGGCCAGGCATCCATGCCACAGTACTGCAGCACTGGCGGGCGGCCAGGCCTGGAGGGATGGACGAGGCAGACAAGCAAGCTCTCGTGTCCTGCGGGTCAGTCACAGGAGAGGCCAAGACGGGCTAAGCAGGCAGGCGGCCCACCCTCTGTCCCAGCCCTGTCCCAGGGGGGCTGAGATCATGGGAGGAGTTGAGGGCAAGTGGCTGGCTTGGCCTGGTGGAGAAGCTGGCCATGGGATATGGGCCGTGCCTGGAGAGAGGCACAGCCCACCTCAGAATGCTCTTCAGTCTGGGGGTGCTGCCTGTCACCACCCCATTTCCCCCCACCTTCCAAAAAGCGGAGCTCCCACAACCACTGCTGGCCCGCATCCTGCTCAGCGGAGGCCTGGGCTCCCACCACCCAGCAGCATCCATGTGGCTCAAGCGAGTTATTATTCATCACTGGCGTGCGTCACCCCCCCCCCCCACCCCGCCCCGATCTGGGTTGTGTGTGGGACACTCACAGATGTACACATGCACCCTCGCACATACACACATTTGCTCACTCCCAAGGGCCCAGATAAACATTTGGTATAAAGGATGTGGGAATCATCAGGGACATGAGGGCCCCTAGCACCCAGCATAGAGCCAGGGTACAGTGGGGTCTTCAGACTCAGGAGCAGACTCTGCACTGAGGCTGGAGGAGGGTCTTGGATAAAATCACCGTCTGGGCAAAGGGGGCTTGGCACTGCCCTCCTGTGAATAGGGAGTGAGGGCGGGGGGAGATCACACCCAGGTGGCTTATTCTGGAATAAACTGCTACCTGATGCTGGGAGCAGGGGACCATGGAACCCAGATTGTGTAGTGAGAAGAACTGGTGTTACCCTGGATGTGAACTGACTCAGTGTATGACCACACAAGTCCCTGCTCCTGTTGACAAGCAGGAGAGGGATTTGGGCTCAACCATACCCAGGATGCTCAAGGCCCTTTCAGTTCTAATATCCTGAGAGTGCAGTTGTCCTGAGGAATCCACCTGCCCTGCAGCCCCCATCCTCAGCTCAACCCAGAATCTCCCTGGAACTGCTACATTCCATCTCCCACTCATCCCGGTCCACTTTTTCTGGCTGAAATGGTTGCTAGATGGCAGATACCAACTAGAACTGCTCTGTGCTGTCTTGAAAGTCTGAGTTAAGTGTCCCACCTTCACGAAGCTTACGATTTGGAACGGTGTCTATCTCCAGGGGTTGGAGGTGTAGATTCCTGCCCCTCTCCCCGCCAAAGATTCCTTTCGGTTTCACCAGCTCCAGCCCACCCGAAGCTCAGGTCACCTCGAATGAGTTTGAGAAGCACAGGTCTAGTGAGATCCCAGGCAGCTTCGGGCGCCTCTTCCCATCCTTGCTGGGGTGTGGTCAGCACCCCAGGGAGGGAGGTGCAGTGCAGGGCAGGGCTTCCTGGGGAGCTGGCACCGGGGCCCTGAGGGGTTTCAGTCAGGGGTGGGCCTGGGATGGAGAAAGAGATCTGGCCTTCCTGTGAAGGGAGACTCATGCAAAGGCTCTAGGGGGAGAAATGCCCAGAACTGTGCTGGACATCAGGGAGCCATCCAGTGTGATCCAAGTGTATGGTATGGATACGGAGGTCTGGCTGGAAAGGCAGGTGGGGTGGAGCTCAGGGATGAAGTCCTGCTGCAATCTTTGAACTTAGCTGTGGTTTTCACCAGGTAAGGGCCAGGGCCGCAGCACAGAAAGGTGACTGAAGGTAGGTAGGCAAGGAGTAAAGAGTGGAAGGGGCAGGACACATGTTCTTGGGAAGAGCCACAGAGAGCCTGGGAGAGTCTGACAAGTCACGCCGGGGAAGTGTGACTTGATGGCTAGTGCAGTGTCTGGGAACCAGAGTTGTGGAGTCCTGCCTCAGTTTCCCAGCTGTGGGATGCAAAGGGGCAGATTCTTCTTCTCTGAGGGCCTTTTGTTTCCCGTGGCAGCTTAGGGCAGCCAGACAGGTGGTGGGACAGCTGTGTGGAGAAGGCAGCTGCCAGGGTTGGGGCCCAGGCAACAGTTGGACGGGGAGTTTCTGGCCCCACAGCCCACCTGTGTCCCTTTTAGGAGGGAAGAGATCCTGAGATGCGGGGAAGGGCTGGGGGCCCATCTGGCAGTGACTTGTGCTGACCTCATGGGGCTGGGCCTAGACCAGGCACTCCTTCCTCCCTCCTCCCACCCTCCCTCCCTTCTTTCTCCCTCTTCTCTCCTCCCTCTTTCCTTCCCACCCCTTTCCCTCCCCGCCTCCTTGGTTTTCTCTTCTTCCCTTCACGCCCCTCCCTTCCCTTGTCTTCTGTTTCTGCCTCCTCTCCTCGCTCGCTTTCTGTTCTGCTTCTCGCTGGTCTCCTCCCTTCCTCTCCTCCTAGCACCCTGCCTTGGCAGTTGGGAAAAGGGAGCTTGAGGGAGGGGCTGAGCCTCCTTGCCCCTCCGGCCTTTCTTCCCGGCCCCAAGCCTGTCTTCCTCCAAGTGGGTCCTGGGAAAGAGAGATTTCTCTCTTCCCTTGTGTAAAATGGATGTTGAGCCACTCCTACCTGTGGAGAAAAAGCTAGGGAGGAGGAAGGCTGCTGGGTCAGCTCTCTGCCAGAGCTGAGAGGGAAGGAAAGGCCAGCAGTCCCCGGAGACCAGAACCTCAGCTAGGGCAGAGGCAGCCTAGGGATGGAAGGCCAAAAAAGCGCCGCCGCCCAGAGGCCAGAGTCCAGGCAAGAGTGGCCATGGTGACCTCATCCCCATTTCAGAGAGTCTGAGATTGAGGATGAGGGTGTGTCCCCGGGGTCCTTTGTGTTCAGGAGAATGCAGCTGGGTGGGCTAGTCGTGTGCCAATTGCTGGGTTGCCATGGTTACCAGGGGGATGCCCAGAGCTGAACAGCACCAGGTTCTCTCTCCCTGCCCCCCCTTGTGGTGGGGGAGGGGCAGTGGGTACCGAGGCACGCGCCAGGTACGTTCCTGGCAACCACCAATGGGGGATGAGGAGCTGTAGCCAGGGAACGGTAACCAAGGAACCCGTCGCCTTGGAATCTCCATCTCACACCACTGGCTGGGTTGCAGGCTGCTAGGGCCAGGGCTCCGAGGACACAACACATTGGCTTACTGGAAGGGAGCCACTGGCCAGCAATTCCTTCCCCCTTGCCTGCTTTCCACCTGATCCAGGCCTCCCTCCATCAAATCCCAAACTGTCCCCCACTGAGTTCCAGCCTGAAATGGTGCTTAGCTCTGTTGTCATGGTGATAAGGCTTAAGTGCTAGGCTGGAATCCCCCCTCCTGTCCTGCCCCCTCTGTGTCCCTCCTACCCTCCCAGAGCCATCTCCACCCAAAACTGGCTGCCTGGGCCCTGACAGTTCTCCGAGCCACCCCTCCCTCTCCCCAGGGCTCTGTACACATATGAGGATGGCTCAGATGACCTCAAGCTTGCAGCATCAGGAGGTAAGAATTCCAGCCATTCCTTTGTCTTCCTCCCCGCCCCCTCCTCCGGTTGTTTTCTTCCCCACCCGTCTGGCTCCAGGCCACTTCGATGCTTGCTTGCCTGCGTCCAGCAGACCATTATTTGTCTGGCAAGTGTCCTTCCTCCAGTCATCCCTAAGATCCCCAGGGTGGGGAGGGAGGGAGACTGGTTTCCTGTTTGATTATGAAAAGACAGAGCCTCAGAGCAGGAGTGTGACTTGCCCAAAGTCACACAGCTAGGCGGGAAGGGACCTGACAGGGATGACCCGGATCACCCCACTTTCTCCAGAGCCCAAAAACGTTTTAATTTACCTCAGTGGGTGCTAGCACCGCGTGAGACTTGATGTGTGAAGAACACATCCCCAGTTCCCCAAGGTCCTGGGGGATTAAAAGGCAAAACTCACACCTGCCTGCTACCTCTTTCACACCAGCACAGAACTCTGGGACTTGTAGATCTCTGGGGGTGTCTGCAGAGCCCACAAGAGGAGTCTTTGCTTTGGATTCCAGGCCCTTTGTGGGGGAGGGGTTCAGGAGATTGGGCCTGACAACCCTCCTGATTCCCCCAGATGGGGGCTTGCAGGAGCTCTCCGGCCACTTTGAGAACCAGAGGGTGATGTATGGCTTCTGCAGCGTCAAGGACTCCCAGGCTGCTCTGCCAAAATACGTGCTCATCAACTGGGTATGCACCAGTGGACTGGGGAGGGGAGCTGAGGGCCCCAGAACAGTTCTCCTCCATCCCACTCTATTCACTGATGCTGCGGGAAGAGAGCTCCAGGCTTCAGTCTGCCTCCAACTCTTGTCTTTTCCCTATCCCCCTTTGCTGTGACTTTGCAGGTTGGTGAGGATGTACCTGATGCCCGCAAATGTGCTTGTGCCAGCCATGTGGCTAAGGTGGCCGAGTTCTTCCAGGTGCGCGTGGGGTCAGGGCCCGCGGGGGTTGGCGACAGGCGCAAGGACTGGCTGCCTGAACCTGCCATCTTCCTGCGGCAGGGCGTCGACGTGATCGTGAACGCCAGTAGCGTGGAAGACATCGATGCCGGCGCCATTGGGCAGCGGCTCTCCAATGGGCTGGCACGGCTCTCCAGCCCTGTGCTGCACCGACTACGGCTCCGTGAGGACGAGAATGCCGAGCCGGTGGTCAGTGTGCGGGCCCTGCCTAGCGCTCCGCTGGCCAGTCCCCTCTCGGTCCTCCCTGTTTCGTGGGAGGGCAGAGGGATGCTCCCAAGCACTCGGCCTGTGGGCTGCCCTCACACCAGGCCCCTTAACTCTGCAGGGCACCACCTATCAGAAGACTGATGCGGCTGTGGAGATGAAGCGGATTAACCGCGAGCAGTTCTGGGAGCAGGCCAAGGTGCAGACCCCGACCCTGGCCTGCTGTCTGGGCGGCTCCTCCCTGTCTTGACCCCACAGGGCTGCTCCGGCTCCTCTCCTAAAGTCCCTCCCTTCAGCAGCAGGGCCCATCCCACGTGCTCCCCACACTGAAAGCCCCTGAATTCCCAGAACCCTGGGTCAGGGATGGGGGTGGGGGTGGATGGGGAGGTGGGCCACAAGCTCAGGGCCTGCACTGCCTTGGCATGGGGGGGACTGCAGAAGGAAGAAGAACTGAGGAAGGAGGAAGAGCGGAAGAAGGCCCTGGATGAGAGACTCAGATTTGAGCAAGAGCGGATGGAGCAGGAGCGGCAGGAGCAAGAGGAGCGGGAGCGCCGATATCGGGAGCGAGAGCAGCAGATTGAGGAACACAGGTGTGTCCGCGGCTCCACCCCCACCTTGGGCTGCGGCCCCACGTCGCCAGTCCTAAGGGCTCGCCTGCACCTTTCATTCCAGGAGGAAACAACAGACTTTAGAGGCTGAGGAGGCCAAGAGGCGGTTGAAGGAGCAATCCATCTTTGTAAGTTCTTAGCCCACGGTTTCTCTCTACTGGTCAGAGAAGTGGGGATGGTCCCTGAATTACTGGGCCCCTTGGGGGATAGTCAGAGTCTTGGGGACAGTGCTGAGCATTCAGGGTACCCCTGCATCAGCATGGGACGTCCTGCCATGTCAGGCCTGACCCCTGATCATGGGGGGTTCTGTCCCCTGGCTGTGGGTAGAGACCTCTTTGGAGAAGTTTATACTCTAGACTGAAAGAGAAAATCTACGTTCACCCAAACCCTCACTGACCAGGCTCCTCCTGCCCCCTTCCAGCAGGACTTGAGGGGCTCAAGGTAGATTAGCAGTGCTTCCTGTACTTAATGGGACTTGAAGCCTGGTCCCCATTGTAGTAATGCTGTAGAGCCTCTGAAAGAATCTGGGCTGGTGCTCTGAACATCTGTGTACAAGTATGTGTAGTGTCTCCTTTAGGGCAGGCACTTATTCCAGGGGTACTTGGCTGAACCTCCAAACATTGGGATGGCCCTAGGATCATCATGGATTGACCCTTTCACAACCACAGTGGAGACAGATCTTCGTGCTTTGAATTGAATTTTACATTTGAGAAATAGTGAAGGTCATTCAGTGCTGAGCATGGTACAGTTTGAGACAGGAGGTAGGCAATAGTTGTCTGGACTGAGACTATGGTGGGTAGCTGTTGAACCATGGGGACTCAAGCAGACTTCAAGGTCACATCCACAGGAGGCTGGGAGGGAGGTGGCACAGACCTGCAGGCACTGGCATTAATGGCTATCATAGATCATTCCATTCACATTAGCCCCTAGAGGGTGGAAAGAATGTGTGGGTAGTAAGCTCCAAAGTCATTCATTCAACAAACCCTTGCCACCTCCCATGTGCTGGTGTTGGAAATATGGTGGAGAGCAAGATGAGCAAGGCTCTTTTACAATTAGCTGATGAAATTTACTGCAGCAAAAGATACATAACATAAAAGGTACCATCTTTACCGTTTTTAAGTGTATTGTTCCATGGCGTTAAGTGTATTTATTTTATACAGCTGTCACCACTATTTATCTCCAGAATTTTCTTCATCTTCCCATACTGAACGTCGTATCCATTAAACACTAACTCCCCATTGTCACCTTTCTCAGCCCCTGGCAACTGCTCCGTGTCTGTGATATGACTAAGTACCTCATATGAGGGGAATCACGCAGTTATTTTACCATTTATGACTGGCTTATTTCACTTAGCATATGTATACCAGATTTTGTTTATCCATTCAGAGCAAGGTCTTTTGGGGGAATAAAAACTTACTTTTATGGAAAATTTCACATACATGCGCACACAAAAAGTAGAAAGAATAGTGAACCTTTGACTTGATCGCTTATCTTCACCAATTACCAATGTTTCAGGCAAAGATTTACAGTGTTATACCATTATTTTATAGTCTTATCTGGCCCTTCAAGTATGGTTCATGTGACAGTGACAGTAGGTATTTTAACAGGTCACTGTGGTGACCCTGCAACTTCAGGTCCCCTGAGGAAGGTCCCACATGAGAAACTTTGGAATTTACAACCGTAAAATGCTTTCTTTTGACTTAAGGAGGTACTCTGCTTTCTCCCTTCTGATAAGAATTGCCTTCCTTATGTGAGTTCCCTTTTTGCCTGGGGTACTAGGAGTTTTCATTTATCTGAAGATTCTGAAGCACAGCAGCACCATTGTCCTTTCCAGTTACTGTGTTGATGTCTCTCCTACCCCTGGCTCTTGATTTGTTTTCATGCTTCTCACAGTGTTGGTAGTTAAGGCTTTTGTGGTAAGCTGCCTCTGGTCCTTTTTTTTGAATGAGGCAGAGGAACCTAGTCCTGTGACACTAGACAGGGGTGGCATAGCAGCAGAGGCTGGTGGGATGTATGTTTTGAGGGAAGGCAAAGAGCTTGACTAGAGTCCCTTGGAAAGTTGGAGGAGAGAGCGAGGTCAGAGGAGGAGTTTAGACTTCCTTCTGGGAGACAAGAAGTGGTGGTGAGGGTGACAGCTCTCGAGGCTGTTGGTGCGGTGAGGTCAGCTGAGGAAGCGGGTGCCACTGAACATCAGGCAGACCGCTCACACACACACATAAGTTCTCATCCTGTGTCACCCACAGAGGGTGGGGAGATGATCCAGAAACAGGAAATTATGACACAGTATAATTGGTGTGTGGCTGGAATACCTCATGGGGGCCCAGGGAAGGAAATGAACTGAATAGGCCAAGGGCCCCTTCCCCAGGAGGCTGTGCTGAAGCTGAGGCCGGAAGCAAGAAGAGCTGGACCCAGGGTAGGGGTCAGGCACATGGGCAGAGAGATTCATTTCCTCTGCCAAGGCCCAGAGTTGGGAAGTTGTATGCATGTTACAGGACCTACAACTCCATTGTGCTGAGGACTTGCTGTCTGCATCTCACAGGGTGTGGGCGAGTCAGGGCAGGAGGGGAGTGTTGGGAGAGATGATGGGCTGAATCAGACAGGGAGAGGGGAGGCCCAGCCAAGAACCCCCAGCTATCTTTACTCCTGGGGCTGCAGTCCCCAAACAGCAAGTGAAGTGGGCATGGTGAAGGGCAGTAGGGAGTGGTGGAGACTGGCAAACAGGCAGCTGCACTGCAGTTCTAGTCGAAAGCTGCTTTGGGGCACACAGGCCTGTGTTGCCAGGGCTGCTGGCATTTTCAAGAGAAACTGAAGACCCTGATTTCAGTAAGAAACTTTATTTTTGAGTGAGTGAGTGATAGTTGCTCAGTCGTGTCCAACTGTTTGCTTCCCCGCGGACTGAAGCCCACCAGGTTCCTTTGTTGAAACTCTCCAGGCAAGACTACTGGAGTGGGTTGCTATTTCCTTCTCCAGGGGATCTTCCCGATCTGGGGATTGAACAGAGGTCTCCTGCATTGCAGGTAGATTCATGATTTTTAAGTGATGGCAATTAATTATAATGTTTTGGAAAGATCCTTTCAGGGTCTATAGAGAAAGAAATAGGGGGAAAGAGCAAGGAGGCAGGGGACTAGTGAAGCCTCAGTCATGATACCAAGATTCAGGCTGCACGGATGGCCAGGTCCTGGGGTAAGAGGTTCGAGAAAAGTTAGCTACAAAGCTGGGAGTGTTCCTGTATGGCCCTGGGTGCCCAGGGGCCTGTCTGGACTGGAGATGAGGCAGCTGAGGACCTTGCAGATGAGAGGTGCTGTGGGAATGGGTCATGAAAGTGGTTTCTGGTAGTGAAAGAAGTGGGCTGTAAGAAAGCCCAGAGTTCCTGTGGGGGTAGAGTGCTCAGAACACCATCCCTTTGGTTTCCAGGGTGACCAGCGGGATGAGGAGGAAGAGACTCAGATGAAGAAGTCAGAATCAGAGGTAGAGGTGAGCCCTGTGGGGGGGACCAGGCATCTGAGTTTGGCCCGGCTGCCTCAATCCGGCCCCGCCTGGCCTGACTCTCCGTGTGCCCCCAGGAGGCAGCAGCCATTATTGCCCAGCGACCTGATAATCCACGGGAGTTCTTTAAGCAGCAGGAAAGAGTCGCATCGGCCTCCGCAGGCAGCTGCGATGTGCCCTCACCCTTCAACCACCGACCAGGTAGTCCCAGCTCCCACACCCTTACCCAACCCCCACTCCTCAGGTTTTGGTCTTGAGCCTCTTTGGGACCTTCCTCGGAAGGGAAACCTTGCCCAAGGACCCCCTGGAAAAGCCAAGGCCGAGCATCACGTGTGCTTCCACCCACCGCCTCCAGGTGGCAGGGCTGAGAAGGGCTCGAGCAGGGCCTGGTCTGAGCGATGGGTGGTGCTAGAGGCCATGGGGGCTGAGGGATCCCCTTGGCTGCTGTGAGTGGCCCTGCTGGGATTGCACTTGTCATCTGAAGAACTGTAGGTGCATGGGGAGTGGGGCCTCGTCCTGTCCTGCGATTGAGCGGCCTGGAGCTGTACTCCGGGATCCCTGTTTGGATTCTCCCTGGATGGCTTCCAGCTCTCCTTGAAGCACCTTCCTGCTCCCTGTCTGCTGGCCTGCTTGCCCCTTCTGTGTGCTTGGCTCAAGTGCTAGGGCTCTAGGGGTGGGGCAGGCTGTTCCTGGGCGCGGGCGGCCCAGAGGCTGGGGGGCTGGCTGCATCGTGATGTGTCAGGCTCTCTACCGTTTGTGGCTGTTGCTGGTGGCAGTGGTCTGATGGCTTGAGGCTCTGGTCCAGCTTGGCTGAATGTGCGCCCTGGCTGAAGGCAGCTTGGACATCCAGGGCCGGCCTGGGGGTGGGTGAGGCCTCAGGATGGGGGTGGGGGAGACTGACCCTCTCTTGTCCTCTGTCTCTCTCTCTCTGTCTGTCTCTCTTGGCAGGTCGTCCGTACTGCCCTTTCATAAAGGCATCGGACAGTGGGCCTTCCTCCTCCTCCTCTTCCTCTTCCTCCCCTCCACGGACTCCCTTTCCCTATATCACCTGTCACCGCACCCCAAACCTCTCTTCCTCCCTCCCATGTAGGTAGCAGTCCCAGGCCTCTGCGGGAGGGGGTAAGGAGGGCCCCGCTTCCCAGCAGCCCCCCTGCCCTCCCCAAGCCTGATCGCTGATCTCTGGTGTTTATCCCCAGAGCAGGTACTGCCTGCTTCTTTCCCCTGGCCCTGAAGGGGCACTGGCCCTCCGGGGGCCTGGATTACAAGGTCTGGAGCTGTGGTCTGGCCCCTGGGGGGCCTGGGGAGCTCCCAGCCCCCACCCAGACTCCAGAGAGGAGGGGCTGACCAGGCCCCAAGTTGGACAGTCCTGTTTCTCTCTGGCTCCTTGGCCCTCACTGATCAGCCTGGGGTTTTCTGTCCCACAGGCAGCCACCTGGACAGCCACCGGAGGATGATACCTACCCCGCTCCCTGCCCGGAGCCCCTCTGACTCTAGCACGGCCTCCACCCCTGTTGCTGAGCAGATCGAGCGGGCCCTGGATGAGGTCACGTCCTCGCAGCCTCCACCACTGCCGCCACCACCCCCAGCAGCCCAAGGTATGTGAGGGGGCCCTAGCCCCTGGACTGGGAACTCCAAGTGGCCGCTCTACGGCCCTGATAGTGGCTGGGGCAGGGACGAGCCCTGGTCAGACCTGCCTTTTCTGGACTTCAGTGTCTTCCTGGAGTGGGGACTGGGCCTTCCTCCCAGGGCTGCTGAGCAGTTTAAAGACTACGGGTAAAGGGGCAGCAGGGGCCAGTGGGTGTTAGAAGGCACTCTGCATGGAAGTCTTAGTGGAGGCCTTCTTTCTTGAACTCTTCAGTGGGTAAGCAGGGTATTCTCGGGTGGCTGCCCAGGGCCCGCATCCTTTCCTGGGGGCTGATCACATATCTCCTCTGTCTTTGCTTCGACAGAGACCCAGGAGCCCAGCCTCAGCCTGGATAGTGAAGAGACCAGCAAGGAAGCCAGAGCAGCAGCCCCTCAGGCCAGGGCTGGCCCCCTGGAGGAGTCCCCTCAGGCCTCGGAACCTCCCAAGGGCCAAGGCAGCCCCATGGAGGAGAACTTGATGTTCATGGCATCTACAGAGCAGGCAGACCTGGCTGCCTCTCTAGAGCCTGCCGTGGCTGGAGCCTCTGCAGCCGACAGCCCAGCAGCTGATGCCATTGAAACCGACACTGCCGCTGCTGACACTGCTGTTGCTAACACCATCACCCCTGCCGCTGCCAGCCTCATTGACCTATGGCCAGGCAATGGGGAAGGGGCCTCTGCACCCCAGGCTGAGCCTCAGGCCCCCACACCACCTTCAGGTGCCGAAGTCATGTTGGCGGAGGTGCCCCTGCTGGATGAGGTGGCTCAGGAGCCACTGCTGCCAGCAGAAGGCAGTGCCAATCTTCTCAGTTTTGATGAGCTGCCTGAGCCGCCAGCCACCTTCTGTGACCCAGGGGAGGAAGTAGAAGGGGAGCCCCTGGCTGCCCCCCAGGCTCCAACTCTGCCCTCAGCTCTAGAAGAGCTGGATCAGAAGCTGGAGCCAGAGCTGGAACCAGAGCCCCACCTGCTGACCAATGGCGAGACCACCCAGAAGGAGGGGACCCAGGTGGGGCTGGGGCTACCTGATGGGAGGGGAAGTAGTCAGGGCTGGAGCAGGGGGCTGACCCTTGGTTCCTCAGGCTTGCAACAGTACCCTGCCACCTTTTTCTGTGACCCACATTGTTGGGGGGAAGCTATTTCATTTCCCCTCCATGGGCCAGCTCTGCTTTTATTCCCAGGGTAGGCATCTGTGTTTCCCTGGCAACCACTGATGGACTCACTGGTTGCTGGGGAAACGAGCTCAGGCCTGGTAGGTCAGCCTTAGTCTTGCTGGGTGGGGCCCAGTGACTTGGAGCTTTTCTCCTGCAGGCCAGTGAGGGGTACTTCAGCCAATCACAGGAGGAGGAGTTTGTCCAATCAGAAGAGCTATGTGCAAAGGCTCCGCCTCCTGTGTTCTACAACAAGCCTCCAGGTAGTGCTGGGATGGATGATGGAGAGGAATTTGGGTGGGGGTGCTGCGTTCAAGTGTGGCCAGGCAGCCCTTCCCCCATACACAGCTGGGACAGCTCCCTGGGGTTGGGATGGACACAGGCATGGATGATCTGAGCCATCCTAACTCCCTTCCCTTCCCCACATCATAGAAATCGACATCACCTGCTGGGATGCAGACCCAGTACCGGAAGAGGAGGAGGGCTTCGAGGGTGGTGACTAGTCGTGGTGCCTGCCCTTAGGCTGCCCTCGCCAAGGCTGCCCACCTGCCCCGTCTCTGGCCAGATGGTCCACAGTGCCTGCACTCGCAGCAGCTCCGCCTGGCACCCACTCTGGATTCTGGCCCTGTCTGGGAACTTGGCCGCATCCCTACCCACAGGGCCCTACTTTTACAGCTTTTCTCTCTTTTTTTTTTTTTTTAAAGTTGATAGGAGACTTGTACAGTTGACTGGTTTTCCTCCCGTTGGTAGTTAAGACGCTGTTGCAAATTCCACCCCCTTACCACCCGGTCCAGACTGTAGCTCTTAGTCCTTCCTGCTCACTCACCTGGCCGGGGTGGAGGCCTCACCTGGCGTGGGGGGGGAAGTTCTGGTGGGAAAATGTTCCCCCCACCTCTTTTCCTAGTTTTCTGTTTCTTGGAAAAAATATCACTTTGTATTCTCTGTCCAGGGCTTCAGATATTTTGCACGAATTTTAAAACATGGCAATAAATGGCTCGTGGGCTCTGGCTCCCTGGGACACCCCTCCCCGCCCTTCTCTTGACCCCTCCCCACCTGGCCCAAAGGAAGAGAAGAAGGCCTAGCTGGGGCCTCTCAGCTTCCCGGCCCTTTCCTGCCCCCTCCTGCTGGGCAGGTCCCAGGCTGGAGGCCCTAGGCGTGATTCAGGTCAGGGCTATGGGTGGCCCCTCTCCACCTCCTCCCTCTTTGCTTGGGTTCCTTTTTCACGTTCAGTAACTGTTTTTTGGAAAGCACAAACTTCTGTAACAGGTCGTGCTCATGTCTGTTAATAAAGAAATCCAGATCCCTTCAGGCCTGCTGCTCCGGGCCTCCAGGGGCTGATCTGTGGTGGGCCGCCTGCCCCGACCCCATTCCCAACTCTTACTACCTCTAAAGCTGTGAGGGCATCCTCACCAAGGCCCCAAGGAAAGTGGGGTATGAGACACTCAGGGGAACCAGGCTGACCTCAGCTTTAGCTCTACAGCTTGTTTTGGGCCGATAAGACCGGCCACACCTGGCCACCAGAACCTTGGCCGCAAGCAGTGGGCGCCCCCTCCGCTTGTACCAAACCAGATCACACACCTTTATTATCCTCAAAATGTAACAAACGGGGTAAGAAATCCCTCCCTCCCGCCCACCCTCCCAACCCCCCGCAGTCCAAGGGAAGCATTTAAAAAGCCCCGCAATCAGGCCAGGAGTCCGCGGGTGGGGCTCGGGACGCCGGGCGCCCTCTATACGGCTGTAGTCCTCCCGAACAAGGGGATGGAGACCGGCAGGCGCCAAGCTCCGTGCTCCAGTGGCTCTCGGCTGCTTAGCTCTGAGTCGGTCCAGCTGGGGAAGACCCGGCGGCCGCGGTCCGCCTGCAGACAAAGCGCAGGGCAGGGCGGCGCGGGCCGCGGGGCACTGGGCAGGTGCAGAGCCGACGTGTAGCCCCGATCCAAGAAGAGCGGCTTGTAGCTGGGTGGCGGCTGCTCCTGTTTCTCCGCGCTGTCGCGGCGGCTCAGAAATGGCGTGACGATCTTGCGGTAGAGGCCGCGCGTGTCCGTGAGCACCTCGCTGTAGGGCGGCGGCGGCTCGGCCATCATAACCGCCTCTTCGTAGCACGGTGGCTTGGACATGTCCGATTCCGCTGTGAAGTGGGAAAGCAGTCCGCGGGTGTGAGGCCAACTCAGCCTCCCGCAGAGGCCTCGGCCAGCCGCCAGCCGTAGCCCCAGCCCACTCCCTCATCCTTCTTTCGCTGGAGAGGCTTTCCCGTGGAAGCCCCGCGGGAGAGCAGCGAGCCCTCCTCTCTCCCCCTGCCGAGGCTTCGCCCACCCTAGTGAGCCCGGCCGCCCCCTGGCGCACGCGGTACTTACCTTGGCGGGGGTAGCTCCAGGGCCGAGGCGGCACGGATAGGTGCGGCGGCGGCGGCGGGTGCGGAAGCGCGTGGTGGTGTGCGTGCGGGTGCGCGTGTGGCTGCGCGGGCCCGTGGTGCAGCAGCGGGTGCACGTGCACGTGCTGGTGGGCGTGCGCCGGCGCTTCAAGACGGCCGCGGTGAGGGGGTGGCGGGGGCGCCAGGCCCGGGGGACTCCCTGCCAGGCTGCCCTCAAGCTCAAGGGGCTCCAGCTCAAGGGCGCGCAGGTTCTGCTCACGCAGCCGCTCCTCCTGGCGCCGTTTGAGGCGGCGGCGCAGGAAGCTGCAAAAGCAGCAGAGTAGGACGATGAGACCCCAGATGAGCCAGAAACCGGCAAAGCACGTGAGGAACGTGTAGGTGCCCTGGGACATAACCATGGCGGCGGCGCGGGCGGCGGGTCCTCGGCTGCTTCACTGGACAATGGGTTCCTCGACGTGGCCCCGGGCCCGCGCCAAGCTCCCAGACGCCGCCAGCGTCACTCGAGGACCCGCAGCCGGGGGCTGCCCGCAGCTGGGCTCAAGTCGTGCGCGCGCCGGTGGGGAGCAGCAGCAGCAGCAGCGGCGCCCGTTCCTTCCCATGGCGCCGGCAGGCGCGCTGGCGGGCCTCACCCCGGACCGCGTGGAACCTGTAGGACAGACAGGGCGCGGTGAAGGCGCGCTGCAGCCCCCGACGACTTCCTTGCCCACGCGGGTGCCCTGCGCAAACCCGGGGAAGCCTCCTCTGCGGAACCCCCGCACTCCGCGGGGGCCCAGTGACGTCACCAGGGATGACGTCACGCCCGAGGTTTCCCCGGTAGGGCTTTCCCGTCTCTGAGACCGGGCCGCCGCCACCGCCGCCTCCCATCCGAGGTGATTCCAGGCCGGCCAGCAGGGGGCGGGCGAAGGCCAGGTTCAGCTTCAGTGTTCCTGAGCGATTCTCCATCCGCATCTCGCGGGTGCAGGGTACCCCAGCTCCGAAAGGGCTTCAGTCTGCCCATAGGCAGACATCCAGAGCGCTGAAGGGGAGCCACTGCGCAGTTGCTTTGCGGCGGGGAAGAGGTGGTTCACCTCCTAGGCCCCACGAGCAGCCCGCTGGGGCCCAGCTTCAGCCTGTGCATACGCACCTGGCAACGTCTGGCGTCCTAGACCTTGTTCCCGCTCCCAAACCTGGCTGCCCAGAGCTTGGAACATTCCGGCTCGCACCGCGGCCTCCTGGTTGTCTCAGCTGTTGTAGGGGGGATCAGGCGGACGGTTCTTAATGGCTACTGCGTGCTACCAGCTTGTCTTTGTCTGAGCCGAACATGCCACCGAGCGTGGGCTGTTCCCTCTTTTCCTTTCCTCTAGGCGCCTCCGCTCGCTGAATCCCATCTCCGTCTCCGCTTCCCGAGCCTCCTACCCATGCGCAGCCCGACTTGGCCCTGCCCTTCTAGCTCCAGGCCGCCATGTCCCTTCCCCCAACTCCTTTCCCTCTCTGGCAGAGGGTAGGAAAAGTAGCTCAAGTAATTGGTACCGCCTGGGCCCACATCACTTCAGATGGGCACTTCCAGTTCCACCTCCTCTCCACAGTCAGGGTTGAGAAGGGAAGCTTGCATCGTAAGAGGTATGTAGGAGGGGAGCCCTGACTTTGGAGGGACAGTGGCAGGCAACTGTTCACCACCCCCTCAGAAAAGGAATGAGCTCTTCTTGAATGTCTCACATCCAAGGCGTTTCACATACAGTAACCTTTTGGGGTAACGAATTATTCCTGTTTTACAGATTTTACACAGTTAGCAGCTGTGTGGATGGCAGGTGACGGTTCTATAATTTGAATCCAAGCCTGGCCACAAAACCCTAGCCTGGGGTGTTAAGAGTGCTTCCTCCTGAGCTATTTTGTGGGTCTATTTGGACTCCCCGTCCCCCATCCTCAGCATGCCCAGCCAAAGCACACATGTATTCAGCTCTGGGCGTCACAGTGGGCCTGAGCCCCAAGCTGAGGACCCCACATTAAACTTAGGCTGGTCTGAGAGCAAGCTGGGGGGAAGCCAGGCCGCCCAGTATACCCCACACTTCTCCCCAGATGGCTCCTGTCTGACTCCGCGGCTGCTCTGTGCCATGTGCCACTTGGTGCCCATGCCAGTCCCTGTCTCCTGGGCCTCCATTCCAGAACAGACAATGGCAGGAACAATAGCTCCACCCGCCCCCTTCACAACCCCACCATAGGCTGCCATGGCGACGCAGCCCAGATAAAAACACGATGCTGCCAGTCATTGGGGGTTAATTAAATCTGTTCTCCTTTTCCTGAGCCCACAGGAATTTTCAGGAATGCTCTGAGGAAGCTGGCACTAACTAGGTGCCTCCTTGGCTTGCAGGGCCGGAACAGCTCTGGGTCACAGAAGCACTTCTGGGGCTGGAGGTGATGGAGTTTAGCTGACTTAGAAATACACACCAAGGACTGTCTGCTGTGTGAAGCCTGGTTTTAGAATCCTTCCATGCAGAATAATCTTATGTAATCAATACCACCTTCCTACGGTGGGGGTCATGCCCATCTGATGGATAAGACAGGCTTAGAAAAGGAAATTACTTGCCCGAGGTCACACGGCTAATAAGGGGATGAGCTAGGATTTAGCCTGACTCTGAATCCAAAGTCTGTGTTGAAACACTTTCCCCTAAATGATGAGTGAGATGTAAATAAGCATGTGTGAGCACTCAGTACAGGAGATTTGGTACCTGTGGGGGCACTAGCCAGGCTGGTCAGCCTGTAGTCAAAATGCACCTTCCTGTACTTTCTCACCAAAACTTGGTACTTCTGCCGACCAGCCTTCAGTTCAAGAGTGGGAAAAGGCTACAGGGTGAAGGAGAGGTGGAATGGCAGTTCTAGGGTTAATAAGGAACAAAGGACAGGGACTGTGCCCTGAGGGGTCTAGCTCAGCTGGTTGGGCGTTAGGGGGACAGACAGGCCAAACCCAAGACCCGCTGGGTGCCACTGTCACCTCTCTAGTCTACCAAATGGATATGATCCCCAGCGAGAAGGTGGTATTGAAGATCATGTAAGACGTGATCATCACGTATGATCATGTAAGATCAAAGAAGAGGCATAGAACAAGGCCTGACATACAGTAGACAGGCCTTGGTGGGTATTTTTATTTCTATTTAGCTAAATACCAGCCAAGTGACAGAACCATCACTGAATTGTACAGACTTGGCCACCGTGGTTCTGAGAGAGAAAGTCTGCGTACAATCCCAGCTGAGTTGGCCTCTGGCCTCACACTGACTCAATGTGGAGGGGAGCAGTGACAAATGCCTCTGGGGCTGCTGCTTCATCCTGGTGGTCCAGACGGCAGGAATCCTGCCTGAGCCTCCCTCCTGATCTGGAGGGAGTTGCTCAGTAACATCTCATCTAATTCACAGTAGGTGCCCACTATATAAATGTCAAGGGATTCATTCAGACTTTTCCAAGGGCTTTTCCTAAGCCAAGTTTCTCAAAGCCTTTCCAAAGTATTATTCCTTTACCCCTTCACGCCTCGTGCATGCTCCTGGCGGGTCTGGGAAGCCCTTCAGATGCAGACCCTCTGCCTGTTGCTTACAGCAGCTCACCTTCTCCATCCCCTGCAGACACATGCCTGGTCCTTAGTAAATACCAACTCCAGCTGTGTGCTGGGAGCAGAGCCTTCAGCCAGGCTCATCCTTAAGACCGCTGTTTTATGATTTGTTTTCTGTTTGTTTCCTCCTCATTCTTTTTACTTACCTTCTTGTGGGTTATTTAGACATTTTTCAGGGTTCCATCTTGATTTCTTTGTGGAGTTTCTGAGTATATCGCTTTGTAGGGTTTTCTTAGGCCATGCTCTCACTGGGAACACGGCGGGGGATGGGACTGAGACCTGGGGAGGGTTATGTTGTCTCAGTTTCCTCATCAGTGGAGGAGAGTGAGCTAATCCATGCAAAGGGCTTAGAGACACCCCAAAACATGAGCACTGCTGCCCACAGTTTCAGAGCTGGGGGTACAGACGTGTGTGCCCCAGGGCTGGATGCTGCAGGGTTTTCTCAGTCACCTTATAAACTAGGTGAGCATTCTGCCCATCTGACATAAGAACACTTAGCTCAGACAGATTAATGGTCTCTGGGGCCTGGTACACTGCTGTGTGTGCCTCCCACACTGTTCCTCTGCATAAAGCACTGCAGCACCCTAACCTTAGACCCCAAAGATCTGCTGCTGGGTCTTTTATCTCCGCAAAGAGCCCACCATTTACACCATCTGCCAAGTCCTGTTGTTTTTAGCCCTCAGAGTTACGTATCTTCATCTGTCCACTTCCTTTTGTCCCCCTGTCACTGCTGGCTTGGCCAAGCCACTGTTCTCTCTCACCTGGGCTTCCATGACCATTGCCACCACCTTCTCTGCTTCCACATGGTGCTCTTGCTTGGTCTGCCATTCTCCACACTGCCTGTTTCCCCCAGGCCTTCTATGAACCCAGCTGCAACATGGCCTCACTGCTCTCGCCCCAGCACTTGCTCCTCAGCCTCTCGGTCTCACCTGTCACCTCCCTGGACGTGTCAGTTTCCAGCTCCCTCACCCCCCACCCCCCCAGGGCTGGCTGAGAAGTCCAGCAATATTTATCACAGTGTCTGTAGTCGCCTGTGTCCAACATGAGGGCTACGTCTGTCTTCATCATCTGGCATACAGTAGCTCAAAAACCACTTGTTGAAGGAGTAACTGGAGGTGTTCAGTTACCTGTTTGGTCTTTTACCTGTCTGATAAGGAACATCTCAAGAGCTAGTCTGCATCCAGTACATTCCTGGGACATGTTGCCCATTCACCAAAACATCACTGATAACCAAGCTATCACCAGCTCTCAGCCCTCACAGGGAGGTTTATAAACAAGCTGAGGATACATACATCTACGTGAATAAAAGGAAAAGTCTACATGGAGATTAAGATGTGTACCAGGGGCTCTGAGGTGGAAAGAGGAAAGGGGCTCTGGATCACAAGAGGAAGCCCTGGACATGAGGCCAGAGCTGCTAGTCCACGAAGGAAGAGGAATTCAGGCCAGGGGGCAGAGGAGAGAGGGGGGAGAGTGGTGTATAGAATGAGGGTGGGGTAGGAAAGGTGACCACTCACCTGTCCTGCGTGCCCTCCCTGCATATGCCAAGTCCCCTGCTAACCTCTTGAACTACATTCATTGCCTCAGGCAGGAGGGTGCTCATTCACTCAGTTGTGTCCAACTCTTTGCAACCCCATGGACTACAGCCTCTGTCCATTGAAATTTCCTCTGTCTATAGGATGTTCCTCTGTCCATAGAATTTTCCAGGCAAGAATACTGAAGTGGGTTGTCATTTCCTACTCCAGGGGATCTTTCCTGGCCCAGGGTTCAAATCCGAGTCTCCTGCATTGGCAGGCAGATTCTTAATCACTGCATCACTTTGGGAGGTAAAGGTTGCATGCGTGCATGCCAAGTCGCTTCAGTCCAACTCTTTGTGACCCCATGGACTGTAGCCCGCCAGGCTCCTCTGTCTATGGGATTTTCCAGGCAAGAATACTGGAGTCGGTTGCCATTTCCTTCTCCAAGGCAGGAGGGAGATGCTGTCATCCCCACTCTACAGGCAGGGAGCTAGGGCCACTTCAGACCCATGTGGCCTGTGGGCTTATGAAATCCAGGTAACTGTAGAATCTGGCAGGAAGGTCATTTCAGGGAAGCACTGGTGACATTTTTACACTCCTCTCACACCAAGACAAATGAACTGAAACCAGAGAAAAGTGACAGGAACCGTCCCAAGCTGCCACCATCAGCCAGGCATGGAGCTGGCCAGAACCTTATTCCCAGCGAGGCCAAGGTACTGGCTTGACACCTTCACCTGCTGGCATCTCTGTGATCCAACCTCGGCACTAGGCCAGGAACCCGGGGCTTGGGAAACTGCAAATGGGACAAGAGACGGGGGCCCTAGGGCGTTGGTGTCTACTCAGATCTGCCCCTCCAA